GGTTTATGAGTCTGATGGCTGAAGGCTACTGGCTAGCTTCAACGGGGGGGGGGGGGGGGGTCAGTCACTGGAGAAAAGCAAGGGAGGGTAAGAGGCTTAGGACTTCTAACCCATTCCCAGGGGGCAGGGTGGCGGCCATGTGTTGTCACCCATGGCTATGATGTAATCAGTTGTGTGTAGGTAGCAAAACCACAAAACCAAAAAGGACCAGGCATGGGAGTTGCCAACCAGCCAAGCCCAAAGAGGTCCTCAGAGGTAGTTTCCCTTGCCCTGTGCCTCTCCTCAGCTACGCCCTGACTTGGACAAGGCCCCTGACAGTGAACCAGTGATGCAGATGAGTTCCTGAGTCCGTGGTACCTCCACAGTGAATGAGTTAAAGAGTCATGGGAAGGGAGGGTATGGGAAGCCAGCCTGAGACAGAAGCAAGGAAAGCCACCTGGAATTCCCATTGGGATGGGACAGAGCCCTCAGCCCATGGAACAGTGTTGGAACTAAATTGGATCAGGGTCACCCAGTAAATATCTCCTGCAGGGTCTGGGAGACTGATGGGGAGGAAGCCTCTACGCTTTCTGGTGAGCAGAGGTCATGGGGTTATAGTCTGCCAGCAGTTGCCAGGACAAGCATGCTTTTGCTTTGCCTTTGCGGGAGGTAGGGTCGCACACAAGTCCAGGCTGGCCTTGAACTTCCTTCCGATCTTTCTGCCTGGCATCACAGGCATGTATCATCATGCCTGGCTGCATTGTAAGAGGGTCCTTGGGATGCAGGGACCCAGAGTTCAGATGGCAGATGTCACCAATGCTAAAGAATGAAGGCTTCATAACACGTCCTCACATTTGGGATAGACAGTACACTATGAATGCTGTCCAAGGACCAACTGTGCAAATACTTACTGCTAAGCAGGAACGGCAGGAGCTCTGGCCCAAGGGAGGGCAGTAGCAACTACGAATCCTCTGGAGCTGCCCAGCTACAAACAACACGGATTACCATTTAAATTAAGCCACAATGGCCATATTTCATATTGGTAGGTGGTGGGGCAGATGGCATGGCTCTAGAACACTCCCATCATCACAGAAGGCAATGGAGAGCATGCTGGGCTAGGGATACTGCTCCTTGTGTCAGTTTAAAGCGGGCCCAGGATGTGGCTGGGTGCAAACCTGGTCAAATGATACCCTGGGATAGCCCTTATGTGTGTCAGGCTAATGATGTGCAAGTCTTCCCCTGTGGGCTTAGAGCTAGATGGAGGGCTGCAGTCAGTGAAACTGATGAAATGCCTCTGGGGGTGTGGGAGTTCCAAAAGGTGCTTGCTCTGCAAAAACAAGGGCCTATGAAAGCCTATATTTCATCCCACATAAAAAAAACAAGCAAACAAACAAAACACCAGGAATGGCAGTATGCTGTAATCCCAGCACCAGCAAAGCAGGGACAAGAGGATCCCCAGTGCTCACTAGCCAGCCACTGTAGCCTAAGCAGTGAGCCCCCGGTTCTAGTGGGAGGGCCCTGTCTCAAAAAATAAGGTGGAGAACTCAAGCCCTGTACTGTAAACCTGGTCAGGAGCCCACATCTGGGGAGGTCTTAGGCCCGTGAGAACCTGCTGCTGTTGCTTTGTGAAATGGGCATGGTGTCAAGCTGCCTTCTAAATAGTTGTGTTTATACCCATCGATTAGTGTGGCTCTCAGTCTGCATCAGAGAGGCTCTTCTTTATAGTGGGTCACCATTAAAGCAGAGACTCAGTACTGGCTAAAGTACTAAGAGTAAGTGTTGAGTGCTCAGCCCTAAACAGGACATCAGTATGACCTCCTCTAAGGCTCTGGGAACATTGTGGAGGAGAGAGCAGAAAGAAAGAAAGAAAGAAAGAAAGAAAGAGAGAGAGAGAGAGAGAGAGAGGGAGGGAGGGAGGGAGGGAGGGAGGGAGGGAGGGAGAAAGAAAGAGAGAGAGAGAGAGAGAGAGAGAGAGGGAGGGAGGGAGGGAGGGAGGGAGGGAGGGAGGGAGAGAGAGAGAAAGAAAGAAAGAAAGAAAGAAAGAAAGAAAGAAAGAAAGAAAGAAAGAAAGAAAGAAAGCCATAGGATGGAAGGCGTCTTCTGGACATGTCCTGGCTGCTTCACCCATAGGCTCATGGCAGCTCTGGCTGTATAAGATGTACGGGAGTCTGAGTCCATCAACATTCCAGCATGGATGGGGAGGTTTCTTAATGTACCACCCCCGTGTGAGCAGCTAGAGGTAGTTAATGGTGTGTGTGTGTGTGTGTGTGTGTGTGTGTGTGTGCTCAGTAGTGTAGCCACTGGCAAGTTGCTCCCACTCAAGTAACCCCTCTACCCCACATACACACACATTCCCATCAATACAGTGTGCAATGCAAGCAACACTAATTAAATGCAGTAGGGCACACATACAAACAGATATAAATTAGAACCAGAAACATGGTTCAACTGGTAAGAGCACTTGCCACCGAACCCAGTGACCTGAAGTCAGTCCCAGGAAACCACAGGTTGGAAGGACACAACTCCCCCAAGTTGCCCTTTGATCTCCACAGTGCACTGTAGAATATGCACCTCCTACAACACAAATTTTATACTAAAATTAGCTTTAAATGAATTTTAATATTAATATCAATAATTAAATTAAATTTTATAGTAAGAACACAAAAGTCAGACGGGGACTTAGTGGAGGAAAGTAGAGAGTTGCAGCAAGGGAAGGACAATGGGAAACATAAATGTGTGTGTGTGAGACACTGAGGAGTAATAAATACAATTTCTAAACATAATAAGGTAGAGAGCAACCGAGGAAGACACCCAATGTCAACCTCTGGACTCCACAATCAAAATACACCTGTGCATTCACACACACACACACACACACATACATACACACACACAGACACACAGGGGTATGGGGAAGGTACTTGAGGAATCTGGGGCAGGCTGGAGACTGTGTCAGCAAAGAGTCACATGGGAGTCATTTCTGAAAGGACCTGGGGAGGAAGAGCAGGGCTCACCTGGGAGAAAAAAAAAAAAAAAAAAAAAACAGTGTGCAAGACAAGGTCACACTACCCAGAGAGTGCAGGATGAGCAGACTGTGACATCAGCTGCCCTGGAGGGCAGGAATGGCCAGGGACACCAAGGCTGGAGCCATGGCTGCTAGTCTTTTGGCTCTACTGTATAAGAGTTTTGCTCTTGGCTGTGGGGTGACTGTAGGGCACTTGGGAAATGAGGAGTGAGCGGTAAGTATGGCCTGGACCACAGTTCCTAAGACAGAAAGGCTTGTACCTGCACCCAGGGTTTTTATCATACTGCCACCATACTGTCCTTGGCTTGTCCAGAGACATCAGTGCCCAAGGAGAGACAGTGACAATACTTGGAAGGTGGAATTGCCAAGATTCACCCAGGGAACAGAGGGCACGCTGGCTTCTTGCTTGAGCAGCAGTAGACTGCGGTGTTGATTAACACAGAAAGCATGGAGTGTGTGCTGGGTAGGCATGGGCGGTGTGTGTGTGTGTGTGTGTGTGTGTGTGTGTGTGTGTGTGTGTGTGTGAGACGACACCAAGTTCACCAGAATTGTTCGTTCTCGGTATAAGATTAGAGGGTGTGACACATTCACCCCAGGGTGCCATTAGTCTTCCCCTGAAGACCCCTTTCCCAGCCCAGCATCCTGGGGCACTGTTCCATCGGCCTGTCCTTCCTTTGTTATGATACCCATACACCCCATCTTTCAAGACTGAGCCTGGGCACCTTCTCTAGAAAACATGTCCTGACATCAGAGGACACACTGGGACCCTTTGGACCTCTATCACAGAGTATCAATTAGCCCCCTCACCCTGCCTAGGGTAGGCAGATGCCAGCTGTTGGCACTATGCCCAGTCCCCAAGGCTGGCCAAGCCAGGACTCCAGCCCTCATGGCCACCTCTGGATGGGGCAGGAGTCCCTCCCAGATGGCCTGGCCTGCTCCACGAACACTCCCCCTGCTCGTGCCTCTGAAACCAAGTGTGCTTGAACACATTTTGCTCTTTTACAAGTTACAGTGTGCCACTGTTTATTTTCCCAGGTGTCCCAGGAGTCGGATATGACATGACACCTCGTCAGGGAGGAGGTGGGGGTTTCCAGTTACGCAGGTCCGGACTGCTAAGTGGCAGGAAGCAGACTAAGTACCAAAGGTTCCCCTCCACAGCCCAGCCAGCCTGGTGAGAACTTGGGCACGAAACAAGACTCAGCGTGTCCTGGGATGTGAGAAAGTAGAAGGGCAGCCCAGAGGAGGGGACAGTTAAGAGTCAGTCAGGCCCACAACGTCCTCACATCCTGTGGCAGGCATGCTCCTTTGTATCTGTGCCCGGGGTCCCCCCCCCCATTAGCTCCCATTTCTTGACACCCAGGTTGGAAGACTTGTCTCTCCCGCAGCATTCAGTGCCTGTGCCAGGGCTGCATGAGACAGCATGGCTCCTGAACATGTGTGTTTTGTGTTGTGGGGGCTACAGTGAGTGTCTTTACCAAGAAGACTGGCCAGGTTCCTGTGAGACTAAGCCACCTTGGGGAGACTTTATCCCAGGGCTTTGGCCGTCAGGGGGCACTGTTCTCTTTGAGACTTGGGAAAATGACTGTGAGGAAAAGGGAAGCCATACACTTCACATGTATTTACAAACAGCACTACTGAGCGAGTCTGTCTCTGAGGCGGTCTGTGTGACACAGATGGGCTCCTGTGTCTGAGGAAAGCTGAGGACCGGAAGCACAGGGGTCTGCACAGTGGGGGGTGTAAGGCGGAGGCGCTCCCCTTCTGAGGAACCGGAAAACTAAACTCTGCATATATGTCTTCTTATGTGTAAGGAAGCGATACTTTTTAATAAAATAAAAACTTCTGTGTAACTTGAAAGATATCATTTAGGCAACTAAGGGGGTAATTTGAAAGGGCACAGTATCCACAGAGCACTAGCGCCAGGGGGGGGGGCACCCTGTCCCGTCAACACTCACTCCCCAGAAAAGATCCCTCATAATTACTTCCACTGCCTCTCAGACCTGGGCCTGGCTTCCCTGCCTCAGCCTGCCTGCACACTGCGCATGCTCTGAGAAGCCTCACGCTTACCGCCCCTGCTGTGCTGGGGTCTGCCACTGACAAGCCTTTCACCCCTTTCCCAGATGCTTCTGTGCCCAAGTGCCTAGCACAGGCATGGACACACCAGGTGCACTGGGAAGGTGCTGGGCGGGCTGAATGCTCTGGCCCATGTCCTAGGATAGCTGGCTGCAGCCCTGCTCTCATGCCAAGTTGCGGCGGGAAGGAGTGGATCAAGCTGGCACCTGGCCCTAAACTACGGGCGCGCGGGGAGCATCCTTGCTACACAAGGGACCATGCCTGCTGGGTGTTCCTCGGGGCCTGGCTCCACCCTGCCTCTCATAGGCACCCGGCCTGCCCCACTGACACAGAGAAGCAGAGCAAGGTGCAGCAGGGGATGTGGGGGGGACAATGTGGTCCCTCAGCTCTGCCCCCCAACAGGCTCCTGGAAGATGCTGGCGGCTGTCAGAACAGCAGGGCTTTCTTCTTGAGATCATTCCTCTTCCACAGGGCCAGGCGGTCAAATTCCTCGATGCTCATCCCAAATACTACTTGGAACTCCTCAGGTGACAGGTGTCTCTTCAGACAAGAGAAAACAGGACAGTCAGTGGTGTTAGAAACCGGAAGTGAGGAGCTGCCTATGCTCTGAGAGACACTGGCTCCTCACCTGGACCCCCATCATAATGGCGGTGCAAAGGCCTGGCCCCTTTGCCTGCATTTTTTTGTCTGTCCCTTGGGTCCAATTCCTACTTAATTCCGTACATAGGCTTAACCATGCAAGGATACCTAGCCTATCTCTGTCCCCCGAATATGACCAGTGCAAAGAGCTGAGTCTTCTCAGCGTCTACAGTGTCCCAGACAGAAAAGGAGCCTGAAAGTCTCCAGTCCTTGCTCTCCACCTGCAGTCACCTCGAGTTCCAGGAATACAGAGGCTCGCCGTGATGACACCACACTCTCCCCCCCAAACCCCAACATAGCTTCGCAAGAATTTTCTTCTCCCTCAAGCGGTAAACATTTCTGACTGCACCGTGACCAACTGGGGCTGAGTGACCCCGAACCCCTCTCATCCTGCTCTGGCTATTGCTCTCTGTACAGCTAAAACTCATGTCAGTGCCTAAGATGGCTGGAATGCTTGCTTTCCGTCTTCCCAAGGCAGCGGCAGATTGACCTTTGTCTCACTCCACGGCCGCACAGTTGTACTGGGGCCAGTGGCCAAGCCTGGTCTACGGTGACTTCAGGCTCTGGGGCTTTTGCCCTAGAAATCTGCTTATAGCTTTGCAGCAACATGCCTGCTAGGCCAGCTGTCTGCTGAAGCAGGGCTGCCACTAAGGATGAATGACCTTGTCATCGTGTCCAGGGCCTCTTTGAAGTGAAAGAAACAAGTCTGAAGGACAGAGTCTTCGGAGGGACACACAGGGACTGGCATGGAGATCCCACGCCACCCTTGACTACTGAGTCCCACTGACAAAATTTTCCTGGGGCCAAGTTCAATAACCATGCCTGCTTGGAAGCTTCTATAGATTCCTATAGGCTGCTTCATTTATCACTTTCTTTAAATGTGATAGCGACTACTCCGACAGTATATTGTGTTCTACTCCCATCTCCCGGCTAAGGAAGCCAAAGGTATTGTTCTGTCTAGTCTTGCGTCAACTTGAACAAGCTGAAGTTATCTGAGAGGAGGGAACCTTAATTAAGAGACTGTAGGCAAAGTTTCGGGGCATTTTCTTAATTAGTGACTGATGGGGGAGGGCCCAGTCCACTGTGGGTGGTGCCGCCCATGTTGATGACCCTGTGTTCTGTAAGAAAACAGGCCGAGCAAGCCATGTTGAGCAAGCCAGTAAGCAGCACCCCTCCATGGCCTCTGTAGCTCCTGCCTCCAGGTTCCTGCCTTGCTTGAGTTCCTGTCCTGACTTCCTTTGATGATGAACAGGGATATGGAAGTTTAAGCCAAACCCTTTCCTCCCCAAGTTGCTTTTGGTCGTGGTGTTTCATCACAGCAACAACAACCCTGACTAAGACAAGCGGCCATGCAGCAAAGAGGCTAAGCCAGGCCCAAACCATGGGACAAACCCTGTCTCACCTTGGCTCTGACATGTGATCCCAAGCCAGGCATTCTGAGTCACTGAGCCAGCTGCTGAGTTGTGATGTTCAAGGATATGGACACCAGCACCTCTGTGGGCCTGAATGACTGAGCTGGCTTCTGAGAAGCCGTCTGAACATCTGTACCATGGGCCCCCTCCTGAAGTTTTGGGCATAGATGGATGGAGTGAGTGCTGGTCATCATTTAGTATTGGGCCCAGCTGTGACTATGTGTGTGGGTTCTGGCCTTGCTCATGGTGGTCTGGGGATAGTAAGAACAATCCTGACAGAGCCCCATACAACCCATATTATAATGTAACCTGTCCCTTATCACGCTTGGCCTGTTATTCTCACAGCTGCCTCACACAACGGGCTCTGAGGAGCCCCTTCTCAGTCAGGCTTGATGGTACACACCTGTAATTCTAGCATTTGGGAAGTGCAGGCTGGGAGATCAGGAGTTCAATACCATCCTCTAGTTCAAGGCCAGCCTGGGTTGACACCCTGTATCACTACCCACACATCCTTCTAAGAAAATAGAGGAAAAGAAAAGGAACCCATTCTCCTTCCTTAAGGCATACTCAAGAGACCTCAGGTACTCTTCCAGGCCTCTCCCTTCTTCTCAGATCACCAGGGAGACAGGAAGGAATCTGGGGATAGGATGAGGTAGCAGGAAGGCAAGAGGGGGTAGGGCTGGCTAGGACAACCTCCTGCTTCCCAAGCAGGGTCTCTTGACCGTTGTGTGGGAAAGAGGCAGGCAGGTCCTCAACAAAGTGATAGAGTGAGGGATGACAGCTCTCTTGCCCAAAGCAGCCACCCAGAACAGTGATAGGGGACTCCCATGGGTCCCCAAGTGCCCACCTTCCCTGCATTCTTCCCAAGAGTCAAACGCAGAAACAAGTCAGCTTTTGGACAGTGGGAAACAAGATGCATTGCAGCATCATTCAACCCAGAATGACATGAAACTCTAGGTCTCAGAAACATCAGGCCGAGTGTGAGGAGCCAAACACACCACACACTGCATGACGCCACTGAATGTGGAGAGCAGGCTTCAAAGGGACGGAAGTGGATCAGCACTGCCAGGTGGGGCGGAAGGGGGTGGGTACTGTGGCAATGAAGGGTGTGGGGTTTCCTTCCGGGCGATGAGAATGTTCCGGAACCAGTGATGGTGGTTATGGAACTGGAAAGGTGCTGGTGCATGAGCTTCACGTTTCAAAATGGTAAGAAAAATTATTGTTGGAAAGAGAGAGAGAGAGAGAGAGAGAGAGAGAGAGAGAGAGAGAGAGAGAGAGAGAGAGAGAGAGAGAGAGAACAGTGTCCATAACTTTGCAGCAAAGACACTAAACTAAAGGTTGTAATGATCAAGAGAGAAAAATAGATGAGAGCTGGATGTGGTAAACTGAGGCAGAAGGACCAAGAGTTTAAGAACTAGCCTTGGCCACATAGAAAGTTCAAGGCCAGCCTGGGCTATAGGAGATCTTGTTTCATGGACTAGGGAACGTGGTGATCTCTGAAAAGCATAAATACAAATCTTGTCACTGAATCTGTGTTATGTGCTCTGAGTTTTACAGCCCCAGCAGTGGGTGATCAGGAAGACGGACCTCAAGTCACACATGTACACAGATAGCCATACTCACGGCACCCAGCAAGCCTCCCCACCTATGGAGGCCCTCAGCCTGCGGACTGTCAAATGTTTGCAAGCAGAAAAAGATCTTGGGCCAGAAATGACCCATCTGGATGGTGAGATCGGGGTGACTCTATATGCTGAGAAGTCCACCCCTAGACCACCAAGATTTAGAAGATACTGTGTTGTCTCACTAGAGCGCTTTGAGGCCTGCTCCCACTCTTCCAACTTGCTCTAGGATGCTCTCAGAGAGGCCAAGGGCACAATAAGAGGAAAGGGTGCCTGGTGGGGCGGGATAAGACCAGTTTAACAGGACCATCAGAATGGAAGTTGAGGTATGGTCATTGGTTTTGTTGGTTGTTGTTTGAGACAAGGTCTCGCTATGCAACCCAGGCAGGCCTTGATCTTATTATGTAGTCTAGGCTGACTTCAAACTCCCATCACATTCTGTGTGGTGCAGTTGTGAGAGCACGGAAGGGCCACACACGTGACGGCTGGTATTGAGAAGGTGCATTGATGGTATGGTGGCCAGACTGCCTGGCAGGGGCAAACCTGAAGCCAGTGGCCTCGCCCCACCACAACCCCAGCTCCTACGGATTTGCTCTTCATGGAGGGAGATAGGATTGGGATGTTCAAGTTCTGTTGAGTTCCAGAGTGTGGGCAAGGGTCAGAGGAGCCAGTGCCCAGCAGAGGCTCTGTTAGTGTCTTCTGGTAGGTAGGGCCTCTGGCTCTCTAGGTCCCCTCCCCAGCAGGAAGAACTGTAGGGTGTAGCTGACTACAGCGGCCCACATAGCTGTTTTAGCTCAGCTATTCTCTGGCCCCTGGCTCCTCGGGTGCTGGCCAGTGCCAAGGGATCCAAGCTTCTTCCATAGCTGCAGGAAGGAAGACCCACATGGTACCTTTCTAGAGAGAGCGGGCTGTCTCATTCCTGGGGGACATCAATGCATGGTGGGGAGTCCTAGGGCCTTCAGCATCTTTCTCCCTATGTCACCAGCAACATCTTCAAAATCTATAGGCCCTGACTCAATGTCACCTCTTCCAGACGTGAGGCTGCCTGAGTTGTGGTACCCTAGGCTGCACGGAGTCCCCTGCACAAAAGCCCAGCTAACCTGCACGACTCAGCCCCCAGAAGGATAGCAGGTCTCTGCTCATGGTGTTCTCCCTTCCTCCCTCAGGGAACACGTGTGCGACTGTTGTCCTTTAGCACCCCTTCTGCCGCCTGCCTCTGCCCACTGCAGCTTCCATCCTGGAAGCTGGCATCCACCAGACCACTCCCCAGGTCTATCTGTCCAGGAAGGGCCTGGGAGGCAGGGCAGGGAGGCATCTCTGAACCCCTCATGGTCACTCTCGGCTATCAAGGTCCAGGATGCTCTGCCCTCATCATACTGGATGGGCAAGTTTAAACAGAGAAAGGACACTGAACCTCAGGGTCCTCACTTCCCAAGTGCTGTCACCCTGGACTTACTGCACCAGCAAACACATACAAAGTTAGCCTCAGGGCACATGAGGACCATCAAGGAAACCCCAGGCCCTCTGCAGCAGCCTCTTCCCAGTCAGCAGGTGGCCCACAGGAAGAGCTCAGAGCCCCAGCCCAGGAGCCACCCACCAATTGTTGAGTGACAGACACATCAACATAGTCACATGATGTCAGACCCAGGGCTGGGGGTTTGGACAAACACTGGCTCTATGTTACTGCAAAGGTGTTTTGAGGCCATGGTTATCATAAGTGCTGACTATGAGAAAATGGTTGCCCTAGGAAATGTGGGTGAGCCTCGGTCACGGGGTTGAAGGCCACAAGAATCAAAGGAGAGAGAGTAAGCCTGCCTCAGAGCTCAGCCTCTTGGGTCACCACATCCCAGAAGAACCAGCCCCAGGGCTTGTGAAGCTCTCCTCGGAGCACATGCCTTGGCATGTGTCCTGAACCTGCATGTTTGTATATGTCTGTGTGTTTGTGTGCATGTGTACAAATGTATGTATCTAAGGTGAAAACAATATGAGAAAAGCAATTTAAAGACAGGTTCGTTGGGCAATTCATCTACATATTGTAATGGGTCTAGTGGCTCTGAGTGCTGAATCCCACCTCTGCCTTTGGGAACCATGGCCTTGGAAGCCATCTGGATGTCTCATGTTAAAACATGCCTTGTGCTTGGAATGGAGCCGACCACACAGAAGGGACAGCCGCCTCTCTCTGCACTGCCTAGCCACGCTCATGCTGTCTAAGTCTGCCACACTGCACTATGAAAACACATTTCTCCCATGGATGACTGCATGGCCCAGCATCTATGTACAGGGTGACACTACTTTTTCAGAAATCACCATCTTGGACCACATCCACGGCCCCTCTCCGTGGCATGCTTGTTATCTGCAGGGCTATCACTCACGGGTGTCCACCTGGTGCTTAACACTGTAAATGCTCAATTAAGTATTTCTTAGCCCCCATTTAAATGCTTGCAACTGTCCAGAGGGCACGTGCAACCCTAGTCTACTGACGGTGTGAGACCAGGCCCAGAATGGTTAAGTTACTTGGCGATAGCCACACAGGGTATATAGACTGGATTCACAATGACTCCCCTCCCGTGATACTACTGGGGATGGCAGAAGACCATCTTAGAAGCAAGACAATGCTACCTTTGATGAACAGGGCAGGACATGCGGGGAATGACTCAGATTAGGACATGCCATTCCATCTAGGGCCAACAGAGTTCCCATCCCTTGGACTGGGAACTCTGGGCCCAGAAGGTCTTCATAATCCAAACATTTAGAACGTACTAGGGGCTGGGTCCCTCTGGGAAGGAGGTTCTTGGTATACTATGGCCATGGGCTGAGATTTAGATCTTCCAGGAGAAAGAGGTCCACATCTGAGGATGCAGACCTGCCTGGCTTTCGTTCCATGTAGGGATGCCTTGTGATGCATCTGACTCACTGCAGAGTCAAAAAGGACCTTCACAACTGAAAGCCACTGACCTTCATCACACACTGTGCAGAACTGGGCACCTGCGTTGCACCTTTAACTGCTGCCAGGCTGTGCCCAAATGCCATCACCATTGGTCCCAGGGCATTCTGTTCTTCTGGGAGATCACCACATCCCATCCCACCCAGTGTGACCACAGTCATATCAGGAGTACCCTGCCCACAGCGCAGTCATCATGTTTAAGGCCTGTGACCTTCCAAACACTGCCTGAATTCATCCACATCTCACCTGTAGTCATGCTACCCTATCCAAGTTACCATCATGCTTTCTAGGTGACTCACACTGCCCCTAAATTCTCCCTCTGCCTCCACTGCCAGCTAAACTCCACAACACAGCCACGGGGCATGTTGTAAATGGCAAGCCAAATTTTGTTACTGTCACCAGGCTAACAGCCAAACTGCCTAGCCCAGCCCGAGGCCCTGTGAGGCCTGCTCTATCCTTCCCTCTGCCTGCTCAGGCCTAGTCTTGTAGGTCCACCTCCTCAAACAGCCCATGTTCCTTTCTGCTCCCTGGCCTTTACGCGTGTACTTTTCTAGCCAAACCCTCACACACTCAGGCACACACATCCAAGTATGCTTACTACACCATTATTATCTACTCATTTGAAACAGAGAGGCCCAGGGGTTCCTGGCCTTCAGAGCACTAATGCTGGCATGTCGTTATGCACACTCATTTGGATAATCAGTTGATGGACACCTCTCTACCAGGGCAGAGCTCATGTCTGGTTTTGCTCAAAGACTTCCCTGGGGCCCATGTCTATGAATGTTTGGGACACGTGGCTATCAACCGTGACAGTTTCGATGATAATAGTCAGCAGTCAGGGGCCAAATCCTGCAGAGCCACAGAGGACCCCATCTGCTGCTCTCCACATCCACACCCTCTTCCTGCACATGGCTAACTTCACTTCCCAGCATGCCTTGCAGCCAGTGAAGCCATGTGACAAGCTCAGCCAGTGAGCCTGTGAGGGGCAACGCTGTCCTTAGGCCCCTTCAGGAAGCTAGCTTTCCTGCGCCTACCGAGCCAGGTGGGAGCAGAATGCCACGGATTGGCACAGAAAAGGTCTGTACCAAACCTCAGGGGGAAAGTGGGTGTTGAGTTGAGTATACAGGGAGACTTCCTTACCCAAAAGACAACTTGCTTACTGCCAGAGAGATTTGCTTATCCTGTTCCTGCCCACACAGGAAGCCACTGTCCCCATGAGAAGCTGATTGGCCCTGAAGAGATGGCATGGGGACTCCCAGGCTTTTCCCCTTCCCATTCCTCTTTGTGACTGTGTGAATCTTTACAAGTTATAAAACTATAAAACTAAAGCTCTCTCCCATGACACAGACATGGGGTGAGAGCGGGGGGCGTCTGATCCTGTAAGAAAGCCCCACCACACCCCTTCCAGAGCCACATCCCTGTCTCCAAGCCGATAAGGAAGAAAGGACAGAGGCGCCCTGCTATGGAAACTGTCCCAGTTCCTGAGGCTGGCTCAGCTCGAAGGGGAAGAATGGTCACGCTCTTGGGTGTGTTCTCCTGAACGTGAAAAGTTTAATCCCCTCCCCAGGCTACAGCTGGCTTCAGCAGTCACACTCACAAGAAAAGCAGTCACTTCAGATACACCCCGGCCCTAAAGGGAAGCAGAGAGCCTGTGCAGTCTCTCAGGAGACTGTAGGAGCTGCTAATGATGTCATCTGAGCTTTGAGCATCATCTAAGGGGGAAGCATTTAGTTCAAGCACCCTCGGTAGTCCTCAAGGACACACCTTTTAAAGAGCCAAGTCACAAGGCAAATAGGATCCTGACCCATGAGCTGCCAGTGGCAAGCGGCAACCCCCTTTTTACAGTAACTATGCTCTTGGCCATGACCTCACCATCAACAAGCCTAGCTTCAGCCAGAGACCCAGGCACCCCCTGTGGCCATTGACGACGCCAATGTCGCATTTGACACTCAAGCAAGGACTTCTGGAGCTCAGTCTCCAAGACCATAATCCTTAGTGGTCTCCAGCCAATCTCATACAGCATCCTAGCCAGCCCAGCTGCTGGCCCTTCGCATGAATGATATACACATCAAAATACTCGAAAATGTTTTAGTGGCCTTCCCTCGTTGCAGTGAGCTCCAAGTGTCTTGCTAACCAGAGCTCTGGCTCCATGGATCCTTGGCTGGTACAATGGGTGTGGACCATGTGGACTGGCTGTTCTGAGCGGCTACTTTTGGAGATCTTTCTGCTTTGCTATGCTGTGCTGTCCCCTCCCCAACCCTCCCTGCCACCTGACTGTTGCCCAACAGCCTCTTTCCATCTCAGATGGCAGGTCTCAGTTTCTTCCAAGAACAACCTGTGTCTCCCCAGTTCAGGTGACACCAGTAACCCCTTTAACTCCAGGTAAGCTGGTTGATCGGGTCATTATATGCCCTGGGTAGGACTGGTTGGTTTAGGGGTGGGGTGGGTTACTGACCACCAAGAGGCTCCGTGTGGATTGTATGAGGACAGATAAGAGAGATGGTTCCCTCCCCCAGAGACCTGGAGCTTTGGAGGGGAGGTAAAAGTCTCACTGTGTAAAGGAAGCAGTCACTGGGTGTGCAAATACAGCCATACCCAAGGGGGCCTTCAGTCATGAGAATCCATTGGTTTCCAGTGTAAGTCACTATGAGTCAAGTACCCATAGGTTGAAGGGAAGCCACCACCCCATGTAGCAGCCACAGTTGTGTATTCTGTGTCCTGCTGCCGCCTCCCTGTGCAGAGGGACTACTGTTTACCAGACCCCGAGGAAAGGGCTTGAAATGACCTCTGACTACTCAATGACTCGCTTAAGCAGCTCTGGCTTTTCATCTTAAGTAGAGATGAAGGCTCAAGGGCATATGACCGAGGAAAGCCAGTACTCTGTCATGATATTGCCCCTGTCAGGGTCACATCCCACAGGCTCTGCACAGATGCCTTACTCACACTGCCCTGTTTTGTCGCCTGTGAAAGTCCTGATTGGCTTTGGACAAGCCCGAGCTCATCCTCTGTAACACAGACGGGACCTCCACACTCTGTGTCCAAGCACAGTCCCTGCCAGGCCCATCTATCCCACCGTAGAGGCCGCCCCTTTGTGGATCTATCTGCTGAGTTTCTGCTCTACCAACCTTCCAAAGCCCCTCCAAAGTCTATTTTTCTTAGTCCTGTTCCTGCCCACACAGGAAGCCACTGTCCCCGTGAGAAGGATGGATAGGGTCTAGTACTTGCCCAAAGCACAAGTGGGAGGTAGCCTTTGCCCTCAGGAGCCTAGAGATGCCCTTACCCTACAGGTATGGAAAGTCAGCACAGCACCTATATGCAAAGCTCAAGAGGGGAATCCCCCCACAGAAAAGCATGGATAGGGCACTTAGCCTTGCCGTAGAGTGCTTAGCAGAGTCTGTCCTTCCGGCCAGAGTGCGCCATCTCACACCACTGGGCTGCAGCTGCTCAGACCTTTCAGACACACACTTGTGTTCCTCAGATGAACTCCCTGTTCTAGATCAGCAGAGAAACCTGGAAGCTTCTCCTTCAAACTAGCCGATCTTCTCACAGCAACACTTGGGATGGATCACCACAGGCTCCTTGGTGCACCACGTTACCCAGCCTTCCCTACTCCAGTCACAAGGCAGGGCCTCTCTGCAAAGCCAGCAGAGTTGGGTCTGTGACCATGTTCCTTTGAAGATTCCCGTGTCTTAGATCTGAACCCTGTGCTGTCACCACAGATGCATCACCTCCTGGTGTGTGTGTGTGGGGGGGGGTGCTGATCTTATAGCTGAGATCTGTAGAGTCTCAGCAGATACCACCCTACCTTGCCTTACCTCCAGCCGAGTCCGGTCCACATCTTTGGGCAGTTTCACACGGATTCGGTTTGTTACGATGAGGGAATCATATGGGTATATCTGCAGGGAAGACACCACAAGGTTATCTCAGAGGCAAGTACCCCTGGGTTGACCAGAAGAAAAACCAGGATACGTACGTGTGTGAGCTGTGGGCATGCACATTTCATGCAGAAAAAACGCAATAAAAAGGAACTTTTAACCTGGGCAGGTGCAGCACGGTGGGAGAGGTCAGTTAGTGCAGGAGGCCCCTTACCTTGTATTCTGTAAGAGAAGAGCAGAGACCACAGGGATGGTTTAGGAATAAAAGAATCCATGCCCAGGATGGGAGCAAGCCTCTCTCTGGGCAAACCCCACCCCAGTCATGCTTGGCTTCTGGTCTCCTGAGCAGCTTTCATGAGCCTCTGGTCTTGTATTTCAAGGGAGGGACCAAGGGTCTCCCACAGAATTTTGAGAGCAGGTGTCATGGCCAGGAGGCTGGAGGCCACACTGGAAGCTGGGTAGTGGCACTTTGCTCCTAGGCTGGGGGAGGTCTTTCCTGGTGTTCTGGACTATTCTGAGAAAGATACCCATCTCAGTTTACCCAGACGTGCAGTGGGTCCTCCAGGGAAAACTTTCTGAGGGGTGTTTCAGACACCTTTACCAATATGTACCCCATCGCCCCAGCCTCCTACTGCCCCCTTTAAACAAGGTCTCACTGAGTCTAGGCTGGCTTTGAACTTGCTATATAGCTGAGAGTAACCTTGAACTCTTGATTCCCATGTCTTCCCATCCCAAGGGCTGGGATTACAGCATGCACCGTTACTCATGATTTATGTGCTGCTGGGAATAAAAACCAGTTTTATGTGTGTGAGGCAAGCACTCTACCGCCCAAGCCACACCCCAGCCCCTCTCCATCATGCGCACTGCTTCCTATTTTAAAGTGCTGTGCACTGTACACTCGTTATGACAAGGTTGTGTTTTTAGACTTAAGGTATCGCCATTTAGAAGCTAAAGCAGTTGCCGACGGCAGGGGCTCCATACATACAGGAAGGACCAACCACTAGAATCCTGGCTTCAGATAATTCTGGAAGGAAGATATCTATATGAGGCAGGCTCTTGGTCTTCCCGCTTGGGACTCTGAAGTGCCTGCCAGCTATGAGGCTGGAGACTGGGACAATCACTATAAGAGCCAGTTGTGGCGCCTTGGTATTACCATCTATATGTGAGCTGGTATTCAAGGGGAGGGTCCCCCAGCATCCCAGAGGGTAACAAGGAAGTGAGTATGGCCAGGAGTAAGGTCCTGCTCAGGATGAGAGTGCTGAGCGGTCAATAGGTATCCCTAGGGGACCCTTCATCCATGGTGCAGAGCCTTCTGCCAGCAGGTCCCGGAGGGATGGCCTCAGAATGAGACTGATAGACATGTGCCAGTGATTCTGGCCTAGCCAGAGACCCACAGGGGTCCCCATTGTGTGTACCTCGCGTGCCCCAGCTGGCATCCGGGTCTGCTCCACAAGGGGCCAGGTTGGCATTCTGGAAGAGAGAAAGAGAGAGAGGCCGGCAAGAGGCAGGTTGCATGGGACAGGCAGTAGGGGGCTGCCCCCAATGCTTCCTGGATCCTCACACAGCTGGAGGAGGAGGAGGGTGTTTGACAGGGTTAGGTGGTAGACAAAGGGCAAAGCTGGGCTTTGGAAGCTGAGTACCCAGGATATCTGCCCTGTGTGTATGGCTTTCCTACCTACCTCAGAAGCCTTTGAACCCTGCCAGTCTGACCAACTTTGCCCTAAAACTGAGCTCCTGTGCCTGGGTCCTGCTGTCTACCTGGCATGGCCTAAGGACAGTTCAGTGCCTGTTCCTGTATTCACACTGTGACGGGTATCGCTTGTGATACCTCTGCTCCCCCTTGTGAAAAATAGCTACAGTCTGCTGCTGTCCCGTGCTCTAGGTAGACTCAAGAGTCAACACAGCCCCACTGTGCCTATAAGACAGCAAAGGGGCACTCACTGGACACTGCCCCCTGGGAGCTATGTGTCATCCCCACTCTATTCTCATAGTCCCCAGTGACCAACCGAGACACACAGTGCAGAGTGACAATGTCCATGCACCCCAAAGCTTCAAGACAAGAGGGGCCCCTGCCTCCCTCTGGAAACCATAGGCACCTCCACAACGCTACGCTTGCCAAGAATCTTGCTATCCAGACTCTCCTGGCATCCTGGACAGAGTGGCCTTGCTCTGACATTAATACCCATCGAGTGACATTCTTAGTGGGGAAGGGTGTCACCTGACTAGGGCACTGCCCTCAATTCCCAGGGGCTGTCATTGACAAACTGTCATGCCGGCACCATCATGGTCATTAAAGTTCTTTCTTCTGTCCACTTGGAAAAACTCATATGTGCGAGCTACCTGTCCCCAGGGGCCCACCCCTGCAAAGGACACTAAGCCCCTGTGGGGCTGCACCACCCCCGTCTTGCCTGATTCCTGCCCCTGCCATATCTACTGTCTGCACCAGAACTATGGGGTGAGCTGAGCTCATTGAAGAATGCCTGACTGCACCCCAGTCCCCAGCACAGTCCAGGGGGTGAAACCGGGTCAGGGCTGGTGGGCAGAGCTTCTGAAACTGGGCCAGGGATTGCATTTCAGCTGGGCACTTCAGGTAAAGGCACCGTGTGCTCCACCTGCATATACGGTTACAAGAAAAGCTGCCATTGATGGGCCTTACAGCAGGCGACAAGCTGGCGGACAGGCTGGAAGCAGGCTACACACCCCGGGGAATGTTGAAGCAGGGAGACCCTGCCCACTACAACCCTTCATCTGGGCCAGAGAAACAGGGGCCCGGGGGCATGCCATGTCATTGTGTCCTCCCTGCCTCCGAGCTGGATCCAGCAGGCTGGGACCAGATGGTGAGAAGGTGAGTGTGGAAAGCCGAGGGTTGAAGCAGGCCTTTATTTAAAACCTCTGTTATTTGGCTTATCATGGACTTTTGGACATCGATTTGGATTTCTCTCTCCCCCTCCCTCCTTCCCTCCTTATTTTGTTTTCTGTTTGTTTGTTTGCTGAGATGCCTTGGCTGCTCTGAAACTTACTGTGTTGATCTGGCTGGCTTCAAACTCAAAGAGCTTTGCTTGTCCCTGCCTCCCCAGTGCTGGCATTAAAGATGGGCAGCACCAAGTCCAGTGGATTTGGGTCTAACACCACGGCAGTAGCATGATTTACTTGAGTGGCCCTATCCTTGGGTTCAACACTCTCTGGGTCCTTTGCGTTGGTCAATAATGCTCCATGACCTCTCACCATTTCCCCTTAGAAGTTTTCAAAAACAGCTCTTAGAAACATTGTCTTAGCCTCAGACCAGCCACACCTCAGGCACACCTGTCTATTAGAGAGCCTCTTGACAAAGTGAGGCCAAGTCTGCCTTGGCCCCAACCTTTGCAGCCCAGATTAACTGATGCTAAGGAGGAATGCTGCCACCTAGTGTTTAGAATCCTGTATCACAAGCAGTCAATCACCCAGAAGGGAACCCAGCTTCCCTTCTGAAGAAAGAAAGATGGGAAGTGGACCATCCTCCAAATAGAGGAACAGGAGCCTTGGTCTAGAGCAGGAAGACTTTAGTCTATGCCCCATGCGGTTCTACAGACCACTCAGTGAAAACATGTCTTGAGCTAACCTGTCTGTGTGGACCAACAGCAGAGAACCACGCCAAGGCTGCATTGCCTGGCCCTACCCTGGCTAACTCCTCTGTGGTTCTCAATGAGGTGCCAGGATTTTAAAAGGTGACATGTTATTCATCTTCTCCATCTGGGCACTTACCAGCTCTACCGACACATTCTCCAATCTTGCTGCTCCCTACAAAGTGGGAAGCACGCTCAGGCTTTACAGACAAGGCTCGCTCAGAGAGGTCAGGCAATCTTGCTGAATTCGCACAGAAAATGCACAGGACTGTAGGAGTTTGAGCCCATGGGCTTTGCTTTCCTGAGACTACCTATGGTCACTGGTGGGAATGAGATCCTGGGGGCCCACATTCCCAGCTGTGATCTCCCTGGTAAAGCCAGGGAGGAGTGAGTTGCCTGACGCAGCAGATGCTGGTGCAGAAGAGGGGTTGAAGATTTGCGTTTGCAGTCCTGACTCATGTGAAAGCCATGCTACAGACCTGGGGAAATGATCTCACAGCCATATCTGTCCTCATAATCACTCAGCTATAAGAATCACACCCCCACTCTGGTGAGTTCGAGGAAATAACAACTCTGAAAGTTACATAACTTGCCTCGACATGTCTGGGAATTCAGGCCTGTCTAATTCAAACACGTGTTCTTTCTGGGAACACAGCTGAAGATCTATAATCACAGACATAACAGCCACCCCCTCTCCACACACACACACACACACACACACACACACACACACACACACACACACACACACCTTCACTGTGACTCAGAGACAGGTCTTATGGAGCCCTGGTTAGTTTTAGCTTTGAACTTACTATGGAGCCAAGGGTGGCCTTAAATTCCTAGTCCTCTTGCCTCTGCCTCCTAACATTAACACTTTAAAAAAATATGAATTTAAATATTTTGAGACAAAGTCTCACTATGCAGCCTAGGATATCCTGGCATTTTCTATACAGACAAGGCTGGCCTTGAACCCACTGAGATTTGCCTGCCTCTGCTTCCCGTGTGCTGGGACTAAAGGTGTGCACCACCATACACATTTTTAGAGTTTCGCAATCACGTCAAACCTGGATGAAAAGGCATACATTTTTGCATTTATCTACTGGGCTAAGCTTGAGAGTGAATTACTGTGTAGTTTTGGGCGACTCTTGTTGACTAGATCTATGTTTTATTTTAAGAACATGCAGAGCACCGATATGAGTTGTCTACGATCTCTGTGTCGAGTCCTGTCACGGCTTCATCAAAACTGAGACACTGGTACCCTGTTCCTCACTGAATGTTTGAAACTTGTTTTCACTTTGCCATAGCATCTCTCTTCCCACCTCCCATTTATGATGCTAGCATCTCTTTCATATCATTTCTAACCAAGAATGCATTTTCAGTGTGTATCTTATAATGACACACTATGATAATGCTATTTTTTAACCTAACCCGACAGCCTGATTTTTTCTTTAATGTTGGAATTTAGTCTCTTCACAGGTAATATCAGCATTTCTCCAAGTGTGATTTCTTCCAGGGAGCAGCCACAAGGACCTTCAGGTAGCCAGACACCATTCTCTTACTGATGGGCCAGGGGGCACGTCAATCATTTTACTGCCTCATTCACAGGGGACCTGCAGCAGGTGGCTGCTAGTCTGCTGGGCTATGAGCATCCTCCTCCTGCAGCAGGATTGGGCATCAGGACATTCTCATGATCTCCGGCATGTACAATGCTAGGGGTCACTAGGTCTCCATGACAAACCCCTCTTACATCAAGACTCAGGAGGATCTCTGCCCCTTCAGACGAGGACAACTGTAAAAGTCACAGTCATGGCCATGTAGCCTTCACTGTCAGGACACACGACTGTCAGGACCTTTTCTCATACACTGACGCTGACATTTGTTTGTGATAGGAAGTTCTCCGGAAGCCTCCCTCTTTTGGATTTTGAGCTCACTGAATCTGTGCTTTGACCTGGACACACACACCCAAACCCTTTCTGGTAACAAAGCACCCAGTGAACAATCCTGGGGCACTGCAGGTCACCGGCAAATGTTTGTGGGCAACCACTGCAGGAACTCCAGAGTGGGGGTGGGGCAGGCATGAATTGCTGGGCATGGCTGTAAAAGACTGCTCAGGAGATGGAATAGCCAGCCTTCTGCTGAGGAGGCAAGGGAGTACACACGAGTATCAGATGGAGTGAGAATGAGCAGGAGCGTGGCAGGAGACAGAGGACCCCCAGGGCCAAATGGGAAGTCAGAACTCCTCTGGTGAGGATGGGCTCCACCTTTGAGAGAGCTCGGAGTTCAAGCCCAGGGCACTCAAGTCGCTCACTCTCCCTCCCATGTTCACATAAGGCCTGTCTCTGGGTCCTGAAGAGACTTAAGAGGAAGTTCATAGTAGTTCCAGGATGAAGATGGACCCATCAGGGTGCAGATCATCTATTCACAACCGGACTAGGAGGAGCCAGTGGAGACCATGACCTCTGCAGACACAGAAGCTCACCTATGCCACAGACAAGGCGAGACTCTCCCAAGAGATCACCTTCTCAACGATGGGTGACCAGACACAGGCTATGCATGCAGACAGTCCAGCGTTCTTACTCTCCTACCATTCACCACGCAAACCCCAACCTCGGGAGCAGGGGGCGAGGTTAAGCCAGGACACTGGCACCTGTGGGCCCCTTGCTTATAGAGAAACTGTTCCAGGGGGTGAACAGAGAACCTTCTAGAAAGACAGACAGGACTCTCAGGGCCCCTAGAGCTCTAACTCTGAGTGGGAGGTTTTATGTCTGGTGTCAGAAGAGTCCTGTGTTGTTTCTAGCTCTCTGCTTTCCCTGTGGGAGACAAATTCCACTGGAGAAAACACAAACTAACAGGGAACATGCAAGGTCCATTCCAGAGCAGGAAGAGAGGCTAATGGGAGGGGAAGCCGTGATCCTCTAGCGTCCATCCATGCAGAGGCATTATATGGGGGGCACCCTGAAGCTGGTTCTTGGACAGAAAGACAGAAAACCAGAGCCTGAGAAGATGGAGAAATCAATGGCTACTCCCAAAGGACACAACCTCTGGAGATGTCTCCCTGGTCTTAGGAGGGCCCCATAGCCTCAGAGAGAAAAATATTTCAGACAGTTGGCCCTGAGTTCACATTTTGATAATACCACTCCAGCACCACACACACACACACACACACACACACACACACACACACACACACACACACACCTGATTCTCTTAAGTGAATCGTCTTGGTCTATATACAAACTTCCTGACACCAGGAAAAGCTCCGGGGTGATGGAGACTATCCTGGAGCCATGTGCTTATATGAGGCCTGGGGGTTCTGCATCATTAGGACACACAAGACTACAGATATCACTGAAAGCCAACATGGTTAGAGGCTCCTCATGAAGGGCACTGGGCCAGGGCACATGCCAGGCTCTCTTTGAGGTGGCAGGCTGAAGGCCTCCTGCACTTGCTTTCACTAGATTCACTAGGAAATATTCCTAGTGACCACATGGTAGTAACATGAGATGGGCATGGTTCCATGGCACATAAACATTACAGACTTGGCTAACTTTAGCCCCTGGTAAAGGAGGTGGGGCTGAGGAGCATCTCAAAGCAGCCCAAATCACTCTGGGTGACCTACATCTCCCCTGCCTTATACACTGGGGACTCCTTGGTTTCTGGGGGCACAACAGAGAGAAGCCAGAGACTGGCTGGGTGTGGTCTGGTCACTCCTGACATGGAAAAGACCACAGTGGGAGCATCTGGGACAGAGCATCAGGCAGGGGCAGATGGGCAAGCAGGAGTCCTGCCTCGTCTGGCTGTGAAGTCACAAAGCTAGGGGAACCAGTGCAGGTAGGCAGCAAGTGGTGGTTAGTGTCCCACAGGTAGGGGAGAGCCCAAGTACCTACCCGGAGGTCCAGGCCATCCTTCCTGGGTCCTGGGAGAGAGTCGGGTTTGGAATAAGGGAAGCCTGTAACAGACACAGCACAGCCTCGTCACGCACTCAGCCAGGCCAGGGGAGGGCAGGGCCCATGGTGATTCCAACAGAGACAGGACTAGGCAGCTGACAACAAACAGAGGCCCCTAAAGATACTCTGCCTGCCTTGCTTGTGACCATCTCTTCAGAGGACACAGAAGGGGACATCTGAGCCAATTACTCACACCGGGAATATCATAGGAATGGGACCCAGCCCAGTGGGTACCCAAGTTCAGGAAAAACCTCAATATCGCATCTCCCAGGCTAGCTCCTTTCTCAGACTCAGGACATCCTAGGCTAGGTAGGGCAGTGCCATCCTGTGCTATGATGGCCACCACAGGCCACCACCCGCCAAATGGGGCTGGGGTTGGGGAATGTCAAATTCAAATAGGGATTACTAGCTTCTCTTGAAATGGAATGGGCTAGGCAGAGACACAGGGGCCCTTGATGCTCGCTAGCATGAGGTCAAACGTCATGGGAGCTCCTGGGAAGCCAGGGGGAGGCTCGAATCCTCCCACCATTCACAGGTGTACTCCGAGGACTGACATGGTACCATGTGCAAAGCTGCCCACCCATCCTGTCTGCCACTACTGCTAAGTATGCTGGGCCACGTGTTACACTGAGGTCCCTCGTGGGCTCAGGGACCCTCCCCTCAAGGGATCCACTGAGGATACCCAGGAGCCCTGCCAGCCCAAGGTGCCAGATGCAGCTCCTCTCAAAGAGGGGGTTAGCAGCAATAAAGATCTTGGATTCTCGGCCCCACTCAGACCCTACTGCATCCGGAGACTGATTCTAGGAGTGAACAAGAACAGTAAGTGTCTCAACCCTCTAGTCAGAGGCTGCGCAAAGCCTTCCCAGGCTCAATATTCATTCAGCCTCTCCACACAGTGGCAACCTTATTTCCATAGGCCGCATGTCTCCTGCCTCCCTAACAAATGTCCCAGACAGGGCTGGGTAATTAAAAAAAGATTCATTTTATTTTTAATAATGGGTATATGTGTGGGAGAGGGGAAAGGGTATGTTCAGTGCTGGTACCCATAGGCCAGAAGAGGGGTCAGAGCCCCTGGAGCTGGAGTTATAGGTAGTTTTGAACTGCCCAGTGTGGGTGCTGGCACCTGAACTCTGGCCCTCTGCAACAAAACAATGCTCTTACGTAGCCATCTCTCCGGCCCTGGTCATACTTTTTCCTTTAAGTATGGAAAGATGGGGCTGAAGAGATGGTTCAGCTGTTACGAGCACTCAGGTTTGATTCCCGGTATCCCATGGTGGCTCACAACCATAGGTAACACCCTTTTCTGGCTCCTATGGGCACTGTGTGCTCATGGTCTATGACGTACATGCAGGCAAGATACCCGTACACAAAACAATTTTTTTTAAAAAGAAACTTGAGCAGAGGATTGGTGGCCATGTTACCCCTCCCTCTATGCCTAGGCTTTTCCCTTTCTGAGGTTTTGAGCCTGTGCAGTTATCATTTTCTTTCTGGAGAAGGTCCCTTAACCACCCATCAAGGTGACAACTTCTCTCAGCTTTCCGTCATCTGAGCAGGCCCCGCCCCTGTGTCTTCCATACAGAAGCATATTCCCACTGAATGCAGAACCTTTAGCACAGGAAGACATGCCACTTGCTTCCGGTCCCTGTGGCTTCCTTGTGGAGTCAGCTGCCACCAGCTAGTGCTTTCTGTAGATGACATGGCTTTACTAGCTGTATACTTTCACCAAGTTTTTTCTAGACCTTAGCGCCACGTCTTGGTGTGGACTCTTTCGGTCCATCTTCTTTGGGGTTCACTCGATTTCCTGACCTTGCAGAGTTAACGTCTTCTGTGGAGTCTTCGAGGTTTTCAGCCATTGTTTCTAACCCATACTTTCTCCTCATCAGGGAATTCAAAGGTACAAGCACCATTTCCCAGATCCCTGGTGCTTATTTTCCTTCTCTCCGTTGTCCACACCAGAACGAAGATGCCAGTGTCCTCTGTCCAAGTCAGTTATTCTGTCCCTGAACCCACACAAGAGGTTTTTACAATGTTTTATTTTTCGGTTCAATGTCGGTTCCCAATTGAGTCCCTTTCAAAGTGATCTGTGTTTCTTTGGTGAGACTTTTTCTCTGTTCCATTTTTGACACAACTGCTCCCTGGAGCATCTTTATGACGGATGTCTTAGAATTTTTGTCAGAGGCCGTCAACACCATGCCTTCCCAGAGTTGGAGTCTGGTGACTCTTTCACATTCTAATACTAACACCACCATTCCGAATGTTGCAAATCACTTTTGATTGAATCCTAGATACTTCGTTGTTGTGATAAGAGCTGGGAGCCACAGTTCTGTTGGGCCCAGTGTGCAGGACCGGGCACACAGACTGATTCCCATGGTCATTATTTTTCAGAGTGCTAAACAGTAAGCTTCTCCATCCTTCTTGGGCTTGCCTGGGATTGCTGGTGCCCACCCCTGACCCCCACAGTCCCGCCGGCTGGGAGGCAGAAGCTGTTAACCATAAACAAAGACTGTCTCCCTGGGTCTCCCCTCTGCAGGCCTGCTGTTCCATGCCCCTCCCCTGTCCCTGCTGGGCTGGTCCGCCTCCCCCTCCTTCCCACCCTGCGACTGCTGGCTCTGCTGTAGCTCCCTTCTTTCAGGTGTACTCAGCAGGGAGAGCTAGACACGAGTGTCTTCGGTGAGTGCTCTTGTCCTCTGAGTTGCTATCTCAATCCCTCTGAGAGAGGGATGGGCCATTGTGTGATTTTAAAGGTCCCAGAGCCCCATGTGCGACAGAACAGATACTTTTTGTATTTAAAATCCCTTCACACATTCAAAGTGCCAACTGCACGCTTCAGTACCTCTGCACCTTGAACACGAGGGACCTAGGGCCTGAGGAGATGGAGTAACCTGCACAAAGGTCAAATGGCCTTATAGCAGGCCTTCCAGGGACCTGCATATCTGATATGCTCAGATGGCCTTCAAGAGTGTGTGGCCAAATGTGAACACGAGAGGAGTGGGCGTGGCCAAGAAGGGACAGGTAAGGAGGACAGAAGATCCTGAGTAAGTTCCCAGCTGTGTACTCTTGACTGTCGGTTATATCAGGCCCTTTAGCCTAACCACACGGCCCTACACCAGCTCCCAGGCTACCCACAGCCACTAGGAAGCATGCTGCCGGCTGCTCTTGGAGTTGACTCTGTTCTTGGCTCTGTTCTCCTCTAGGATGGCTGGTAAGAAATCAAGACAGCCACCGAAGACTCAAGATGCGTGACTGAGGGAAACAGTGTGCGATCCTGATGCAGTGGTAGGGCAGGCTTCTCACGACATCCGAGGACATTCTTCTGACAACTGACTGGCAAGCCCTTAGCTGGGGTCCAGCATGTGGCTGCCACTGCCTGTTCTGTGCAGGGCAGTTCAGAACTCAATGTCCCTGGGCACATGAGCTTTGGGGTGTGGAAGCCGGCGAGACAGGCTTGAGCTGGTGGCCGCAGGCTCACTGCAGTCTGGCATGTGAGTCTGAGTGTTCTACCTGGGTGTCCCCACAGAACTGCATGCCCAGGTGCCAGCCACTCATCCTATAGGTCCCTGGATCATTCTCATTGTTGTAGATAAGGAAATGTCATACCGTAGAGGCTTGTTAGGGACCCAGTGTCACTCAGCAGTGCCTAGATGGGACTCTACCAGCTGCACCCAGATACAGGTTCGGTGCTCTATGTCAGTTCCTCTTGTGGTTTCTTGGACATACGTGTTGCCTTCAGATCTTTCCTGAAAGCCATGCCTGTTCCCATCTTGGGTCTGGCTAGTCCCTCTCCCACTATACTCTTGTGTCTGTTTCCCTGGGGCTCTGCAAAAGCCAATCTCCAAACCTTCATGGGACACAGAAGGTGTTCAAGGACTGTGTGCTGGGTGATTGGACTCCTGCTCATCGGGACTCTGATTTGGCACTGGAAATGGCAAAGATCCTCCAGTTCTGATACCCGTGGACTATGTCACCTAGGGGTCTCAGTCACATCTCTACCCCCAGGCACTTGGCTGCCCTCAGTGCCCCCCAGGAGACTGACAGGTCAGGTGGAGCCTGCTCTTCATAACCACAGGCAAGGGAATGTAGGGCAGATCTTTCTCACAATGAACTCTGTGGGGGTAAAAGGGTGGAGGGAAAGTCTGGTCCTTCCTTCCTCCCTCCCTCTCTCCTTCCTTCCTCCCTTCCTTCCTTCCTTCCTTCCTTCCTCCCTCCCCCTTCCCTCTCTTCCTCTCTCTCTCCTTCCTTCCTTCCTTCCTTCCTTCCTTCCTTCCTTCCTTCCTTCCTTCCTTCCTTCCTTCCTTTGGAGAACGATAGAGCCACAGAGACCCATCCTGTGACTGTGCTGTTGCTAAGTGGCTCAAGGGGAGGACAATGAGCTAAGGAGCAGAGACTGGCATATTCCACCATCCCACGCTCTCATCCACGGGCCTCTCATGCTGAAGAACACAGAGGTGGCACCAACGGTAATGGCCCAGGCCAGTCTGGGGTGAATTGGCTCCCACTGATGTCTCCCCTGTACTTCCTGAATTGCTAAGTCAGAGAGATTTCCAAGGCACCCTGACCCCACTCCTCTCCTCCGACCCTTCCTCTCAACCTGGTGATGTAAAGCAGCCGTGTTCTCTGTCTGGGGTCTTTGGGCCTTGCGGGAACCACAGAAGCCCCTGAGCAGTGTCTTCTACAGCCCGGATGCTTGAATTATACCACCAGACCTCTGACCACCACGCCTATGTCTACACCCGCACATCTGCATTCACACCTGTGAGTAAGGGACCTCAGAAGAGAGGATAGGACAGAAAAGGCCAGGGATGTGGAGCTCGGAGGACGTGTGTCCACAGGGTGAAGGCTACAGAGGAGACTCGGGGCATCAAATCTCACTCTCTAAGGATTTCAAGGCCTTCTTCTTATAACAAAAGCCAACCTTGTCCCCTTTTGTGCAGACTCAGGCAGTCATTGATGACCACGCGCACAGAGCCGGGAAACATGGGCTACAGAAGGGAAGTAAACACATCTATAATAAAGCATGCTCCCCATTGATAGGACAGCAGGGAGCAGTGCCTGGCAGAGAGCCGTTGCCCTGTGGGACGGTGCAGCACTTCTGGGATGGGGGTAAAGTCACTGATGCAATGCTACACTCTGTGGGCTTCCTGCTCAGGAGATGTGAAGTCAGGACACCAGGAGAAAGCAGAGGCAGGAGGATGTAGTCATGACTATTAGCGCATAACAGGTGGCAAAGGTCCAGGCACAGGTGGCTGGGTCCCCACAGGCCAGTGCACCCACATAACAGCTACTTCCTGTCCACGCCATTCATGATGGCTTGTTGCAGAGACGCGGTAGAGGAATTGGATGACCAGCGAGCCCTTGTCACTGTGGACGTCTGGAACAGCCTGCCTCACAGGGACTACCACACTCAAAAGTGCGTGGGATGAACACCCCGCTTCTGGCGTCAGCAGATGAGAAAGAACTACAGGGAGGTAGAGGGTACATGCACAGGCCACACAGCATAGTGACAGCAGAAGCGGGGCCCTTCCTTCCCACGCTGTGTCCCTGATCCCCTCGGTCCTGAGCCACAGGCAGTCCATACATTCCAGTGGGGATTGCTGAGAGAGCACAGGCTAACCGCCCTGGGGAGAGTCTGGGTGAGGCATGGGAATGGAACCGGGCACTCCCCTAACAGAGCAAAGACCAGAAACTGGAAAACACCATCCTGACATACCAGCATAAAATTCCAGCCCCCAGCTAATTAATGCCTGGATGCCAGGGCACCACACAGGGCAGTGAGAGCTATAGGAAACCCCTAAGCTCTGCTCTGTGAAGGAACCTCCATTACTCAGACCCAAGTACCACAAAGCACATGTTCACATCCAGCAGGAGGGTACCACCTGGGCAGGGCTGCTTGGGACAGAGGGCTGAGGGATGGTACAAAGGCACCCCAGCTGGATCTCCACCTCCTCTGGCCATGCCTACAGCTAGTTCTTCCCCCAAAAGAACATACAGGAGGACCTAGACCTGGAGAGCCATTTGATGGGCCCTCCCATGTTGACATCAGCCTTGTGTGCGTGCTCTGAGATGCCAAGGGACCGCATCTGCTTACAAAGACCCCATACAGAACAACACATCCATTCCCAGTAGTCACAATGTCTGGCTGTCTGTATCTCCACTCCTCCCTCTGCCGTAGGGCGCCGCCAGTGTCCAGCAGTCAGAGAGTGTCATCCGTGGTCAGGAGGGAAGGTAGGTGGGAACAGCCACGGCTGTTTGCTGCTGGCCAGCCAAAGCACTCATGCACAAACAGGACATAATGACCCAAGAGTCAGCATTGCTGCTCTGGCCCCTATCATCAGCCAGTCATCAGAGAGCTCGATTTCTCTCAGAGCCGGTGCCACCATGATGCCAAGTGCTTTTTCACACCACATAGATTCTCATGACCTCCACTTCCAACCACAGCCATACAAAGCAACCCCTGCCCAGCTTAGACCAGAGGCTGCTTACGGGAGAACCTAAATCTGTCTGCAGCTGCCTGTGACCTACCTACAGCATCTCCAGTAGGCAATGCAATGCGTAATTTACTTCATACTTGAGAATCACCCCCAAGCCAGGCTTCACAACACCCCCAGGGCTAGACAGATGTCAGCTTTGTTGCCTGTGACGTAGGGCCATATCGCCTAGGAATCTTCAGGTGCCTTGCTCAGGATGTCACAGGGACCGAGACAGTGCCTTGTACCAGTTCCAGATCTGGACTCGCCCCCTGACCATGACCACATCTGCCCCCAAGGAAAGAGGCCCTGACTGCTCTTTGCTTTCTTGCCAGCTCCGAGAGAGCCACGAGGGGGCGCTGTGCGCACACTAGCTAGCTGTGTCACTGCAAAGAGTGGTGTTTGAGGCCAGGGCTCAGACCTTGATGAGGTTGGCTTGATTCACATATGAATGCTCTTTGGGTGTTTTTGTTTTGTTTTGTTTTGTTTTAATTTTTATTTTTGAGACAGAGTCCCCCTATGCAGCTCAGGCTTGGCCTCAAACTCACAGCAATCCTTCTGCCTCAGACTCCCAAATACTGGAATTATGTGCTGTCTCTTTGAGATTTGGGGACCCACTCAATAGGGGCCCTTCGCTGGCAGCCTCCAGTGCACATCAGAAGAGCCACTCACGTGAGTAGAGGCTGTCCCCAGGCATCCTTTGCAGGGGTTCTCGTTCAGCGCCGCTGCTGAGGGACAGAGATTGGCTGTCCAGGTCTGGAGAGTTCGTTCTGGTGTCTGTATCCCCCTTGAGGAGCAGCCAGGTGGTCTTCTGCAGAGGAACAGAGGTTATGAGAACACTGAGGTCATCTGCTGTGGTGAAAACACCCCACCAGAACCTTCTAGTAGCTTCTGTACTTCTACCTTACAAGCCGACGCTACTGTTTTTAATACCAGCCTCACTACTTGCTCTGCAAGTTCGTGAAGCAGCTGGAGAGATGGCCAGAAGCTGCCCGCAGGCTGCTGTTGTGATGCCCCCCCACCCCCACATCATCTCTGACTGCTTTCACAGTGTGGCCTACATCAAAGAAGTGTGTCAGTAAGGTCTACTACATTCTACTCTCTGGCCATTTATACAAAACAAAAACAAAAATCCTGTTCTGGACCCTTCATGTCAAATACCCCAGAATGCACTGGATTTGTCTCCTTGTCAGCGTTCACATCTCTGGATACATGGCAGAGCCAGGACCCTGGCAGAGCATGTGCTCACTTGAGTGTAGAAGGGTGTGGCTCCCACCTTGGCTCCCAGGCCCCCAGGAGCCGAGTAAGCAAAGAAGGAAGTCCAGCTGGAGGAGCCTCCCACCCTGCAGGACTGTGGTCCTCCTCATTACCTTCCTGCTGTCCTGATCAAAACTGTTGTCCTCCACATCCAATCGCCTGGCAGCTGGAAGGGAAAAGTCCGTTTGTAAAGGCAGCTCGCCATGTTTATCCTGGGGGCCCTGCTTTACATAATGCTCAAAAGTAAAAGAAAACCGAAGAAAAAGGACAAAAAAAAAAAAAAAAAAATGAATGCCTTTCACGGGCCAGAAGTGCACACTAGAGCAGCCTCCTCGGGGATGGGGCTCAGAAGATGGGCATTCCCCAAGCTAAGTGACTCCTCACTGTGCTTCTAGCCACACCTCCAACCTGGAGAAATCGAGTCACGTGTTCAGATGCAGTTCATTTTCACTGGATTGCATAGGCACACCTTTGACCTTTCGAGGGGAACCCTGAAGGGACGGGAGGTCTCTGAGTCCCTTGTGTCACTCATGGCTGCATGAGTCTTGGTCATCACTGCTTCTTTGAAACCATGAACTCTTCGAAACTGGAATTTGACCCATTTCACAGATGGGGAGACTGAGGTCCAGGAAGGTGACTTGTTTTGAGGTCATGGACCAACATGAAGTGAAGCGAGGGGACTGAGTGACATGAACTCAGGCAGTCAAAGTCAAAAGTCTCCCCCTGCCTCTCCCGCTGAGCTTCCTACTGCCTGCACAGCCCTGAGCTATGCCACTGGGAAGAGTCCATAAGGGACGGCAAATAACACCAGTATACCCGGAGATGAGCCCACTTGCGGCAGGAGTTCACACCACAGCAACTTGTTTGCCAGGAAGACTATTGGCAGCGTTTTGTCATATCCCACTGACCTGACCCTTCCCCAGGAACAAACAAAGAATCCATGCAGGCATGCTGGTATGCTTGTTTCGGGACCCACTCAGTGCCCGGAGACCTACCAAGATCTACCCCAACCCTGTGCACACAGCGATTGCTGGAAGCCCTGGGGTCCTCCCCAGCTAGGGCTCAGCTCAGGGAGGAGAGCAGGCGGACTTCTTACCTGTAGCCTGCGGTGGGCTCAGCCCTGCCCGTCTCTTGGAGCGCCCTGCCTCCTGCACCACCAAGGACAAAACTGACACCAGGTCAGAGAGCTTGGACATTGGGGACTGGGCTACAGGACCTTGACAAGATAGGGCCAAAATCGAAGACTGAGTACTTCCATTCTAGACATGAGGACTCTGCATCTCCCCAATGCGGCTGCCAGTTTCCCCAGTGAGAGACTGATTTTTTTTCTTTTTTAGGTGAAAATGAACCTGTGTCTGCCTTCTTCCACATACAGGGGTGACTTAACTCCAGACCTGCCGGGGAGGCTCAATGGAGGGACACAGAGGGGTGGGCAGTGTGACTCCTTTTGCTCAGACAATGGCTGTCACTGCAGCGGTGCCGGGGTGTCGCTATCACCAGCTCTGACTCTCAGTAGCTGAGCGAGGGTGCAGGGACAAGCTCTGGCCACTCTGAACCCTGATTGTCCTACCTCACCATCTGTGCCAGAGACTCCAGCCCAGGGGCTCTTTGGCACGTGAAATCCCACCCCAGTAGTCTGTCTGGTGTTCAAGATTACACAGGTGACACACTAGCCAACATGCTCTAGCGTAGCGCTACCCAGAGCTCCAGAATGCTCCTCCACTTGCTGAGAAGAATGTTCTGTGAAGACTTAACAAGGGTCCTCTCTAACACCACAAACTGTGACAGGTGTGTAGTTTACCAGGCCAGAGCCAAATTCACCCAGGCATTTTGCAATGTTTATAGGTCGCTTCCGTAACAACTGGGAGCCTCAGTTTCCTGATCTACAAGATGGGAAAATGCTATCCTACTTCCTCTAATTCATGAGAACCAGGAGAGAGAGTGTCTGAAAATACAGCCGGCTCACAGCTCTGCAATGCTAGGAATAGGCCAGAGGTCAACCCTGAAGGTATTTTGCAGATAGCTCTCCCCTCCTTCCCTCTTATAATTCACTTAAGTCTGAACACACTCATGTACTACTTATGTGTCCCTCTGGCTGCTCATCAATTCACTTCTATCTACTTACTCTCTTAATATTCTACCCCTCTGCTCATCTATCTACCCACCCAGACACTAACCCACACTTCTGCTCATGTATCTACTCCTATCCACTAACCCACCCATCCTTTTATCCAGTTTATCCATCCACCCATCCACTAAGCAAGCATCTATGTATCTATTTATGTATCTATGTTTGTATGTATGTATGTATGTATGTATGTATGTATTTATGTATCTATGTATGTATGTATGTATGTATGTATGTATGTATGTATCTATCTATCTATCTGCCTGTCTGTCTGTCTGTCTATTCATGTATCCACCAATCAATAAGTTCTCCATCCATCCACCCATGTACTAACCTACCCACCTATATATCCACCTAGCTACGATTCACCCACTAAGCCATATACCTATATCTATAATATATTTACATATATTCCATCCAACCATGCATCCTCTAACCAGCTTACCCATCCCTGTTTCCACAGTTCTCCATTTATTCACCCACACACCTATGCACACCTCTCTTTGTCCTCTTCAATCCATTCTTTTGTTTACTGATACATCCATTCATCCATGCAGTCCTGTTCCCCCTCATATTGGGCCTCTGCCACTCAGCCCTTCACCCTCACCCCTGCACCCGCCCTGTCCTGAGCACAGGAACACAAGAACATGGTCCTTTTCGGCCTCAGCTGACTGACTTTGTTCTCCCCACAAGGTGCAGGAATCTCTGGGCCTCACTTTTGCCCACAGGGACCTGGGCACAAATCTGCCTCCCCACTGAGCAACTGGTAGGAGATGCTCAAGGGGTCACAGCGGCATCTGATGTACCCGGAGCCTCCTCCAGTGTCTCACATACTGACTTCCAACACATAAGTAGTTACAGAAAGAAGACTGATGGACACAGCCCACAGCTTCCATGGGAGCCAAGCAATTTGCCTTTGGTGGCACCTACAGTTCCACAACTCTGGCTTCCAGGAGGCCATTGAATGTTCCAGAGTGCTATCTGTGGCCATCAGGTAGTCTCAGCTCTGGGATCCACTGGAGCTCTGTCTGCCATCAATGCAGAGCCTCCCCTGAGCTCCGTGAGTGTCCAAGCACAGGCTTTGACAGCTAGGTCCTAGACCGCTGGTTGGGCTATCTCCAATAGGCGACGGAGGTTTTTTTTTTTTTTTAAGGCATGGGGAGGGGCCTCCTCAGACCTCAGGGTTCCAGAAGGGTGGTGATGGGGGATCTTGCTTCTCAACTCAGGTCCAGACTGGGTTTGAGAACCAGACCTATGGACAAGACTTCTCTTAGCTTTCCCAGTGCTAATCAACCATCAACCTGCAGTTTAAATTGTGCACGCAAGCACACACGTGCACACACACACAGGAAGCAATTCTACAGACTCTCAGCTTCACAGGGTGGGGGTGTACTTGGTCATTTGTTCTATGCACTATGCTTCACAGGGAAGGCTGTGTTTGGCCATTCCTATGTCTCCAGCTCTGACGTAGAGGCAAACATAGAGTGGAGACTCAAAAGCCACCCCTTGGATAAATTAGTTCCTGGCATCGCTTAGCACTTGGCACCCCTTGGATAAATTAGTGGGAGCCCTAGCATCTCTTGGCTTCTTTCTATGAAGTTAGGGGAATGGCATCTGTTTTCTGACTGCTACCAGAAATGACAGTGGCATCAGAGGAAGGGCCATAGAGCCGGCACCTCTGCCTACCGGCTTTGCTCCTGCCCACTGTCCCTCTTCCAGAGAAGGGAGATCATCATGTCCTTCGGACCATACAGAGAAGACCCTCTAAGGGCCACAGGCCTGTGCCAAAAACCCTCTCTGGAAAGACTGACTTCCGGACACTCCTGTCCCATGTCCTTCAAGACCTTCTGCTAGACATGCCCCATGGGGTACCAAGTCTGTAATGTTCTTTGTGGACTCAGAGCCTACCTGACACCTGGCCTTTCATCAAGTCCCAGAAGAGGACCCCAAACCAAAATGAGGCTCAGTCTTCCAGGAAGGAAGCCCCAGAGAGGACAGCAAGCCCTTATCGCCATCTTCAATCAGGGAGCAAAGAACTGGGAATAGATAGGTCCTACTCAGATGCTGTCCCTGAGAACATGAGTGGACAGAGAAGCATCTTCAGCCTGCTGCTGTGGTATGGGAAAAGCTGCAGGAGGAGCCTCTGCCTGCCAGCTCCCCACTACTCATGTCTGTGTCAGAGGCTCACACTTGCTTAGAAATCAAACGCGAACCTGGTGAAATGGCAGCTCCACCCTGGACCTGGACAGTCAAACTGTCCAGGAGGTCTTTGAAGAAGCACTATTTGCCTTAGTCATTCGTGATGGTCACCGTAAAGTGCCAACCTCCGAGGACACACAGAGCCACCTCGGGAATGAACCCGCAGCCAAATCCATGAGGAATCACTAGCTTCTGGCCATGCCCATGGGGGAAGGGTGGTATTGACTACCTTCATTGAAGTGGGAAGACCCACATTAAACGTGGATGACCTTTCCCTGAGCTGGATGAAGAGGAGAAGTCTAGCTGACCACTTCCCTTCTCCACTCCCTGCTCCCTGATGGAGTATGTGATGTGACTAGGTGCTTCCTGCCACCGTGGCCTCTCTGCTAAGAGGGATGCACCCCTGAACTGTGAGCCGGGATAAACCCTCTTACTTCGGTTACTTTTCTCAGGGTGTTTTATCCCAGCAACAGGAAAACAAATTAAACAACAGTCTAAAAGTGGATGCCTTCCTTCCTTGGAGAGACCGCCTCCAGAGAGTGCCTTCTGCTCAAGCCGCTCTGCCATTTTCAGAAACTGCCTGAAAGATCTATGAGGCACAAGACCTAATCCAAGTTTTCTGGAAGGAATGAGCCCTGAGGAAGGAAGCATTTCTCTCTGTTAACTAACTGGATGTGGACAGCTGTGTTTTTAACCCATAACTGCCTCCCCAAAGTGACAAGGTTGGATGCAGTATGCGTATGCAGGTATGTGTGTGTGTGTGTGTGTGTGTGTGTGTGTGTGTGTGTGCAGGCATGAGATTCCACTTTCACATGGAAACACAAACAGCCCACAGCTTCTCTTGAGCTACAGACCATCCCGAAGGTTCTGTCTCAAGCAGCTGCCAAGCCCCTCCTCCTGCCTGACAGGTGCTGCAGACCATATTCTTTGCAATGTCTGGTGGTATGGGGAGGTTCCCTATCTTTTGCCCCTGCTTACTCCCTTTTTCATCTCCTTCTACTTTCCTTCATCTCTTTTCTTCCTCTTTAAAACAACAAGCAAGTAGAACTTAACTGTTATAGAAATACAGTCAGGTTCCAAAATGCCAAAAAAAAAAAAAAAAAAAAAAAAAGAAAGAAAGAAAGAAAAAGAAAAAGACAGCTGCAGGTAAAGAGGTCAGAGGTCAGCTGCACACTAAAGATGGCCCCGTGGATTCAAAAGCATCTTACTTTCCACCCCAAGTGTCACCTCCACCCAGTGGGCACGGAGGCCCGGCCATCCTCATGGCCCTCAGAAGCAGGAATGAGACTCAGGCATCAGAGAAGAATAACACTATCACCAGCAGCGACCATGTTCAGTGACTTCGTAGTTGAACACTGCAAGGAAATGAATCTGGGGAAGGGCTTGGCTGCTTTCAACATGTTAAATATAGGATCGTAAGCTAATAGAATGGTCTTGTGATTCACTGTCATCCCCCAGGGGCTGGAGAGAGGATTAAAATAATGCTGCTCATGCCTAGATTGGCCTTCAGAGCTCCTCAGGAAAGGCCTGTGATCAGGTTGCCTTGATGGAACAAGCACTTGGTGGGGAGGGGAGCTGGAGGCTCAAGCACACACACACACACACACACACACACACACACACACACACAGAGGCATGCATGCACACACATGCATGCATACATTCATACACACAGTCAGGGGTGGGGAGGCCTTTAGAATACCAAAGATCTCAATGCATGAACTGGAAACCAAAGGCACCCTGCATATCTCTATTTCCCAAAGGTTTTAAAAGAGCTTCCGTCTACTAAAGCTTTCTAGACACTTGAAGTTTGCATGGCTTACTACATTCCTGTTTCAAGTTTGCATCGCCTAATGCCTGGCCAAGGCGGTGTGATCTAAGATCTGCTTTTTTTTTTTATGGAATCAACATGAAGAATCCCAAGCAACTGGAGTTGCCTGCAGACAGGTGAGTGTCTTATATCTAGACAAGGCTGGTGCCTGAAAATTGTGAACCTGATCTCTCCCAGGGGCTCAGGTAAAGGATTTGAACCTCAACACTGTCCCAGTCTGGCCCTATCAGACACAGCTGGTCAATTACATAAAATGATTTTCTAATGCTGCCCCTTGCCAAGGCCTGAAACATGGGATTTAAACACATAGTTAAGGTGCCAAGTGTGACAAAGAGGTTGCAGTGGCCCCATAACCCGATCATTGTCCTGGGCTCTAGGGGGTACAGAGCTCATGACCCTCCTTGAAGGCTGTCCAGCATGGTGCTGTAGGGGTTACCTAATGGGGTGCTCCTTCCTTTGACTGAGCCTCAGTTTCCCCACTTTTAAGACTAGGGTTCTGTTCTGGGTAAAAGGTGTCAGTCTAACTGCCCTCACCCATCTACTTGGATTCTGGAAACCAGGATTTCAATTCCTTTCTTTCCTTCTGAGAAAAGGAGGAAAGACATAATGCACAGGACCTCTTGCCACCACTGAGGACTAAAACCCAACGCAGCATGCCTCCGATAAGCTGGCTACCTACCGTTAGTCAGTGTGGGGAGGGGGTGCCTTCCCCTGAAAAAGAACTGTCCATATGGGAATCTCTCTTCCCTCCCACCTTAGTGACGGCAAAACAGTGTCCACATTGTGCACAGCCCTTTATAGTTTAGAACTGTCTCCACACGGATTGTTCTGTGAGCATCTCATGCCCATCCCCAGAGGAATGACAGAAAGGGCAAGGGGAAGGAAATGGCAGGAAGGAGGAGGCAGACATAGTGGGAAAGAAATGGCTTGCAGATGAGGAAACCGAGGCTCATGATACTGAGGTGACCTGCCCCGGTCACCCAGAAACCCCAATTCTGACTCTTTTAGAGTCCTGCTCCACAGCCCAAGCAATCTCCTTGTACATCTGTCCCAGGTAAGTTCATGTGGAGAAGATATGGGGGTCAAAGGGATAGAGACACCCTTGCTGCCAACCATCTCTAGCTTCTACCCAATGCAAGGAACCCCGACAGCTAAGAAAGAGCAAAGGAATGGCACAGATACTCTCAAAAGACAGGGCCTAAAGTCTCCATAAATTGTGACTGGTTCCAAATTCGTTTCCAAAACTCAGACCTATGTCAGGGCATGGGTGAGAAGCCCCAAGTCTCTCACCATCTCAGCTGGGGCCCTTATAGTAAAAATCACAAACAGAAAACCAAGGCTCTTAATTCTAGCAGACGCACCCCAGCCCCAGATGCCATGCATTAGCCTCTCCCCATGTCTCCTCTCTTGTGAAGGGAGACCTCCCAGGAGCCTACTAGTCAGTGTGCATTTAATGTTCAGCCAGCAGGGCCTCCCAGAGCCTCGGATCAGGACATAGCAAAAGGCGCATCCAGAAGCAAAAGAGGGTAACAGGCATGCGGGCAAAGCAGGGCAGCAGAGTTCGTCAGGCCAACCATACCGTGCTGTTTGTAGATAGGGGGTTTCCTATAGATGTTATCTTTTACGCCAGTGTCTGGGAAGAAGGAAAGAGAAGGAAAGAACATGAGGGAAGCAGGGAAGCAGCTGCAATGCTCTCCACCCAGTGGCTTCTGTCAGCTCCTGGCTCACCCAGCCAGGAGTCACCAGAAAGGTTCAAAGACAGCAAGTAGGGGAGGTTAAAGCCCCACATCCCTACCAAACATCCCTAGTCCAGATACCACCTCAGATGCGGAGGGGACAGGGAGAGGGTGGGCAGGGGAGGTGGCAAGCAAAAACCTTGGGTCGCAGGGGGTACAGCTAACTCAAACCCTTCTCTCCACTTTGACGGAGTACAAAAAAAAAAAAAAAAAAAACAAAACAAAAACAAAGCATTTTCCTCAGTATTTGTGAGACTTGGAGAAAAACCCAAACATATGTCAGTTTGGGGAGGGGGGACGACATGCAAACCCATTGCATTGGGGTTTTGTATTGTTTGTTTGGGGATAAAAATCTTGCGCACCAGCGCACGTGTGTGTGTGTGTGTGTGTGTGTGTGTGTGTGTGTGTGTGTGTGTGTTTTGTTTTGATTATTATTTTTCAAGACAGGGTTGCTCTGCATAACAGCCCTGGCTGTCCTGGAACTTACTCTGTAGACAGATTGGCCTCAAACTCAAAGATCCATCTTCCTCTGCCTCCGGAGTGCTGGGATTAAAGGCGTGCACCACCACCCAGCAGAATCTTGTTTTCTAGTCTAGGCTGGCCTTGAACTTGGGATCCTGCTGCCTCTGCCTTTTCATGGCTGAGCTAACTGGTATGCACCACTACACCCTACTTCATGGAGTAACTTTTAAGGAAACTCAATGTTTGGGGATGCTCTGGCAACTTGGATGTGACCACAATGGTGCACGAGGAGCTGACAAGCATGCGGAACCTACCTGGGACGTGGAAGTGGCGCGGTGCCTGCTGATAGGTAGAGGAAGGAGGCCTGCTGTCGGAGAGCACCGAGAGACTTGGGGTGCTACGGCCACTTTCGCTGCCTCCAGACGGAAGAGCAGAGGCAGCAGATGAGCGGTAAGAAAGCAAAGCAGACGGTTTCAGGCTAAAAGAGCTGGTCTGCAGTGAACCCCCTCTCTCCTGCCTGAAGGAAGCTCACACCTGAGTCTTCCAGCCTGTGTTCTATGACTTCTGTCCCAACCTGCAGTGCACCTGGCTCGAGGGAGTGGAGGGGACAAAGGGGCAGTGAATAGAGGGCCAGGGGTGTGCTAGTGCGCGGTCAGTGGGCAGAGCCCAGGACTGTAGGGTGGGAATGCACAGTGCAGGCTCACAGTCCCTGCCTCCCTCGTGTAGTTTATGCAGAAAGGTCCTGATTGCTTCGAGATTCCACCAATTAAGTGGGGGAATGGGACTAAGGTGTGGGAATGGGTCAAAAAGCCTCCCTCACAAACACTTTGCAACATCCAGCAACTTCCATAGTCCCACATACAAGCTGTTTCTGGCCAACAAAATGAGAAAGGTTTTCTGCTTCCTCCAACTTCTGCCTCAGCTGGAGCTATACTTTGTGTTCTGTGAAAGAGGCTGGATGGTCAAATTCCCCCATCAGACGCCCGGTGACCTGGGTGAACGCCCCGCCTCCCGCCAATGCAGGATGTGATGGACAGAACACAGTGGCACCGGACAAGTGATGAGGAGCACAGCTCACAGCAGGACACCCCAAGGCACAACCTTCCCTTCCATTACATGTGGGGAATTCTGTAGGGCAGTAGCTGATGGCCTGGCAAGGAACGGGCTCTCCAGGTTCGGTAACTATGCCTTTGAATGGCAAGGTCAAGCAGTAGGACCCTAAAGCCAGGTCTAGATGGACTGGAGACAACAGGGGCATCACACAGGCAGGGAGGGCCACCAAAGGAGACCAATGACACCTACTTTGGGTGTCTTCTCCTGCCTGGGCATGGTCATTGATTTCACCTGCAAACACTGCTGGAGCTTTGGAGAACTAGAACCTTCTGATTGGCTGCATCCACCCAGCTTCTGTTCTTCCTAGCAGTAGTAGGGGCCTCGGCCATGGAAAGTGGGAACCACAGGCTCCTTCTTTGCATGATGCCATGACTCCACATGACACTTAAGTCAGGATAGGCATGGCAGCTCTGAAAACACACCTGTATGCAATCATCCTGGCTGAAGATTGTCCCTGGTGGCGGCCATCCCTGAGCTCAGCTTCTGTGACTTGGCCTTGTTGAGCCTAGAGCCTCACATGGCCAGGCCATTCTTTCTTCTCTCTCTACATCCGTTACCCTCCCCCAGCTGACTGAGGATTCTAAAACGGTCCAACATCCCTGTCCTCTCCAGAGCTTGGCCTACAGCATGATGTCCCCTGAAATAATAACTGAGATTTCCACACCTGCGCACTCACTGGAGGAGGGGCTGCAGCTCAGTTTCTTAGTTACTCAGAGAGGCCAAGACCAGGGGAGCTGAGGCACAGCATGGTAGCCTTGATGACCCACAAGAACCCTGTCACATTTACTAAAGGAGCCTTCAACACCAGCCACCTCGGTCCCCGCCTGGGACACTACCACCAAGTATTCCCTGGCCCCTGCCTGACCCGCAAGGCCCTTCCCAGGCTCCAAACTGTCTCGACCTTCCTGGGTTCAGACTCGGGATCTACCCGGCTGACAAAAACCCTCAGGAGGCCAAGGCCACCTTTTCTGCAAGCATGCTCTCATGTAGCTGAGAAGACATCTTGCTGAACTTGACCCCACAAACCTGTCTGGAGCTTTGTTGTGTGTTTGTACAGTGTGCCCATTCATTCCCACACTGTGGGCACCAGGGTTCTGATACCTCCTGAGGAGGGCAAAAGACTATGCTTTGTGAGCTGGGCACACTGACTACTTGGAAGCCTACTGGACTTCTGTGATGTCACCCAAGGACAGCCATGGAGGCTCCTTTGTCCAGGCTCCTGGCTCTTTTTTGGAGGTTTCATATCCAGGGTGTTTCTGACTCAGCCCAGGGAAGGGCCCTGTACAGGACTGGGCAGTCCAGGCTCTGGTGTGGCCCATGCCTTCTTTCAGTTTAAGTCAATATTTTGCTTTGGAATGGTTTTAGATGGTTCTAGAAGGCACCACCCTCCTCATCTAAGATCCACTTCTAACATCCCTCTAGAACCTGGAACTACTGTGTCATGTTAACTATATTTTATTTGAGTTCCACCCACTTTTACTTGAGATCTTTTCTGTCTAAGCACCACCCAGGATATCACACTATACCCAGGATCACATCTTGACATCTCCCAGCTGTGACCAGCATCCTGACAGTTCCTGGATCGCTGGAGGGGTGTACAGAATGTTCCCCACCTGGGACTGTGAGAAACAGTGGTTATATATTTAGGAGAAAAGCACAGAGGTGCCTGCAGAGCCTGGAGTTGGAGCTGAGGCCTTGCCTCGGGGTGGTTCAGCTCAAGATATTATATAGCCTGCACTTGGTTATGCATTGGAAGGAGTCCCGCCTACCTCCATGACCTACTACCTCTACACATCCTGTGCAGAAGTTGGTCCCTTGTGCTCCTATTTAGCTGGACTTTTCAGCATAGATTTGTGGATGCTGTGTCATCTTTGAGTCCAATGACTCATGTATTGCTCCAACTATGGTTGCTATGGCTGTAGTTGACTCTGACCTTGAAGATGCTGCAGTTGTTTCTAGTCTGGGTGCTGTTGCAGTTGGCTCTAGCCTCGAAGATGCTGCAGCTGGCTCTACCCTTAAAAGATGTTATAGCTGGCTCTGGCCAAGATGCTGCTGTTGCCCCTGGTTGAACTTTCCCAAAGTCACATCAGAACAAGTCTGGTTCACAACCATGCGTCAGTGCCCTTTGAGGACCGTAGCCAAGGCATGTGTGGTTTCTGCCTGGAGCCGCCTCTGAGGCATTGACCACGGATCCTGAAGTTAAGGGACCAGGGCTTAGGGGCCTGTTTTGGAGCTGAGGGAGGTCACCTTTGGCAAAATGAGAATCACCTCCTGGGCACAGTGCATGCTGGGATTTTGACCTGGGGCTCTGCCCTTAAGATCTTCTGCCTCCCTTCCTTCTAATGCCACCAGTGCTGTCGAAGTCCTTCCAGTCAGTTCCCAGAAAAGTGGCTTCAGCAGCACGGTGTCCCCTGGTCAATCCATATCCTCTGCCCTTACAGCCTGTCCCTTATTGAGTAAGAGCTGCGTTTAAACCTTACACCACCCCGAACAAGAATTCACACTAATGTTACAATAACTTTCGCTAGTCCTTCGCCTGACTGTAGGTCTTGGGGCAGTGACTCCCGAGGCACTGAGACACAGTAGAAGAGCATGCTGTCTGGGCTAGGTGGGCGATGGAAAGAGGGAAGGGGTGAGGAGCCCTGCCATTATACAGCTATGTCAGGAGAGGGCTGGCACAGAAAGGCATGTCTACCTGGGGGCCTTCAGCCAGCATCAGGCAGTGAGGTGTCTTTATTGTACAGCACCCATGAGGGGAAGACAAAGTTCCAGAGACTGGGAAGATGCCACAGTTATGGCTATGTCCTGCAGACAGGGAGGAGCTGGGAGCAGGATGATCCTCACGAGGATCTCAGGGTCTGTACCTCCTCAAGGAATGTCCTAGGAAGATGCTAGAAAGTTCAAGGTCACAGCCTCCCACGGAAGTCACCTGGAGGGCAGAGATGTGGGTGCCTGCTCTACGCCATTAGGAAGAGGAGCAGCAACAGCCAATGCCTAGCATGTGCTCTTTTCTTTGGTCACAGGCTGACCGGGATCCAGAGCATAACAGGTCCACCAAAGGCAGGGCCCCACAGACAGGAGGAAAGCCGTGCCCAGGGCCATTGAGCAAAGGAGAGAAAGACATGAGACTCTGCAGCCAGTCAGGCTCCTTCCAGGTTCCAGGAGCAGCCCTCACTCTAGACCCCCACAGACGGATGATGCGTAGGTATCAAGGCCACAGAAGCTACTTTGCTGCTCTGGGGAAAGTGCCATTTGGGGCTGACACTGTCACTGGAAACTCAACTGCTAGAGACTGGGATGTGTGAGAGCCCGTGAAGGGGCAAGGAAGGCATGGTAACGCCAAAGGCTCTTCTCAGAGGATCAAGGGTGAGAGTAAAGATGGAGGAGAATGGGTCGTTTACTGACTGCTAATGACGGGAGCTGTCCGCTGTGCCTGCACCCCGTGGGAAGGAGCCTTCCATGGGCACCCACTGCATGACAGTAAGAGTCAGAGAACTTAATATACCACCCAGGGACTCTTGAGAAAAAGCAATGCAGTGTCTTCTAATTCCCTAAATGTCATTTGTTGATGTCTTTATCAGCTGGGCTGTGTAACAGAACTCACAGCTCAGAGCCTACATCAATTTCAGCCTCTCGTGTGTGTCTCACACTTCTGGAGTCATATCAAAGCCCAGGACTGGGTTTCTGGTAGTATTGTTGCTGTTGTCTTATTTTATTTTGGTGGTATTTCATCCTGGCTTGTTGAAGGTCTCTTCACTGATCTTCACCGATCAAAGCCCAGGACTGGGTTTCTGGTAGTATTGTTGCTGTTGTCTTATTTTATTTTGGTGGTATTTCATCCTGGCTTGTTGAAGGTCTCTTCACTGATCTCCACCGTACAAAGCCGCCAGTCCCAGTGGATAAGAGTCCCACCTTTGACCTCACCCTACCTCTATTTCTGCCTTCACTTTGTTTCTTCAAACACTGCTATATGGAGGTTAGGTCACTAAGATGTGAACTTGGGGCATACATAACTCAAGATCTCAACATGGAGGAAATCACAAGGGTGTCTCCCATGGAATTCATGTGTATGGGTCACAGGACATGGATCACAGCTGGTTCTGCATCCTGGAAAGAGCCAGGGGTTGGAGCCACCTGGGTTGAGTCCTGGCCCAGCCACCAGGGGTCTGAGACTATGGACATCACCACCTCTTCACACCCTCAGCTCCTGCTCCTGAAAGCTGACACTAACAGAACCCGACCACATAGGGTTGGTGGTAAATGTGTGCGACTCCAGTGAGGCCCTAAACATGGGGCACGATGTTCACTGACATGCTCCCTCCAGCGGCAGTTTTAGGGACAAATCACCCTGCTCCTTCCAGGAACATGTACACACTGACAAAATAGAGCAGACACACACACACAACACAGGGAGAACACAGGCATGAGACACAGGGCTCTGGAAGCCATGCTGAGACATGGGACGAGCACCCCCCGCTGCGCACTGCACGCCTTACCTCGGAAGTAGGGGATGTAATGATGTCTGAACACGGATGTAGGGCTTGGGTGTTGGGACAGGGACAGACAGCTACTGGTACCAACACTCACAGTACCAGCTGCGGGCAACAGAGAGCAGTCAGTAACCCTGGGCTCCTCTACCCCAGAGCCACCAACTTGTCCTAGTCCCCACTTGGCCAGGGACATTGTCCCTCTGCTCTGCTGGGGCCCCTGAAGAGGGTCACCCAGCAGGCTGTGGGCCCTTCTCCTTCAGATGGAATCAGGAGATGCTGCCTCTGGGACACAGGATGGCAGCCAGGGCTTAGGACACAGCCTCTGGTCCTGCCTGTGGCTCACTTTGGGGTGTCCTTGAGATCAAGAACAGTGGGAGGGCAGCTTCCAGAGGTCAGGGAGTGGTCTGTCACCAGCATCCTCTTGACACTTGCCATATGTAAAGCTTGGCCCTGTAGGCTTTACCCCTGACCAAGCAGTCAGTAGTCAAGCCCTCTCGGGGATGCGAAGTCAGAGGTCAAGTCACAAGGGGCCTTAGTGGAAGGGCTCAAGAAAGTCACTTCTGTCCACACACCGACTCTTCTGTTCATTTTCTCACTCACTCACACATCTCCATTCATTTACTCAATCATTCATTCACTCACTCAACTCTTCACTCAATTCACTCATACATACACTAACCATTCGTTAACTTACTCCTCCACTCACTGACTACTCCATCAGTTCATTCATTAACCCACTCACTCCCTCACTCAGTTGCTCATCCTCTAGCCCACTCACTCATTTACTGTCTCTCATGCACACACTCATTCACCCTCTTTCTTCACACTGGCTGAGCAGGGTGGACCAGGCATATTGCAAGGAATCGATGAGAATGACTGCAAACAATTAAGTTGATTTTTCCACAGAGTTTTCAAAAATAAGAGCTATGGTCCATAGGTGTGAAAATGGGTCATGCACAGCCAGAAGGGAAAAAGCAGGCTGGAAAAATCCCTCCAAAAGGCATTGCTTTTGTGCATGGTCCCTGTGGCTTTCACATGCCAACCCAAAGCTGAGGAAGACAATGCACACTGGCGGGTGGGGGGCGGTGGGGAATGAGGCAACAGGATTGGAGACCCTGCGCAGGGCTCTCTCCCAGCTTGGAAGGACATAGGGGCCTTTTGCCAACTTCTTTATTAAGACGGCTGTCTCTGGGGTTGCTGCGTTATAGGTACAGCATTAGACATTCTGACTATGTATTGGTGTAGCCACTGACCCTGGCTCCCCAGCTCAAGTCCTGCCAAACCCCTGTGGGCTCACAACAGCCTGTGACTTGGCGCCCTGCCTCATGTGCTGACCGCTCTGTCACTGCCCCCAGAAGCCCACTCTGGTTGTTTCCTGTGGGCCTTGGAGCTGTATGCTTCTCAGGATGTGCACTGTAGATGCAGACAGCTCCTCCAGCCCCAGGGTGACCATCCGTCCGCCTCACGGCTACCTAGACCTGAGGCAATCCTTTCCCTTAAGGGGGTCTCCATTGACCGCCCACGGGCATTGCCCCACCCCAAACTTTGCCACTTTTCTCAACGAATCAGGAAGCTACGTTTGTATCAGCAAACTCATTGAGAAGTACAGCCTCACCAGGGGTCAAGGGAAGCAGGGTGTGGGATAAATACCTGGGCGGCTGTAGTGCTGGGGTGACCGTGATGTTGGGGTGTAGTGCCCGAGGCTGACGGAGCCAGCAGAGCTGGGGCTGGAGGTCCGGCACTGCTTGTAGGACCGATCATCCTGATCCCCCTGGGTGGGAAGACAGTGTGAGAGCACCTGGATCAGGAACACTGCTTGCCCTTCACCTGCCCCACTGGATTTGCCCTTTAGATCCCAGGGGCAGAAACAGCACAGCCCTAAACAGAGCTCAGAGTGCAAACAGAGCACATCGGGACAGTGAGGTGGGTCTGAGCTATAACAAGCCCCTTGGCCTGGCCATGGGCCCACTGGACGTCCGCCCTTCTTGTCCATTGGACCCTCTGGGATGGGGTGAAAGAACGCTACCCATCCCCTCCCTCTTAACCCTCCCCTGCACTCTGAACCCCTGGGACAGTTTGAGAACACTGAAATTCTCCTTACACGTGAGGGAGGCGCTAGACACTCTGAGGCACCTTCTGAGGTGCAGAGGTGCCCTCTGGGACTCAGAAGCCAGCACAAGACCCACAAGAAGCGCTGAGGACGCAGCCCCCATCGTAGCAGGAAGAGAAGCTTCTGAGAGCAGCCAGAACAGGCGACAGCAGCATGAGATGGCATGGCACCATGGTTTGAGAATCAGACTGCCCATTCCTCGCCACGAAGCCTGGTGGCCTGGGTCATGTCAGCCTTCCCAGCCTCATCTCAACCCCAAGCATCCCACAGCACCAGGGTCCCCACAATGCCCAAGGCATGGTTTCCAAGGAGACAGGCTGAGGAGCTAGTGGAGGGACAGACAGGGACTCTGGCCATAGAGCCTTCTTCTAAAGCTCCAAGAAGAGCAAAGCATTGCTCAGTCCGAGACGATGAGGAGATTCATCACTCTTGGGACCAGCCCTGTGGGCTGGAATGGGACACTCCCAAGGATAGGGAAGGCAGGAAGCAAATGGCCCCAGTTACTTGACATCTGGGCCTCAGTTTCTCCACTGGTAAAATGGGGAACTCCTGGAAGCTATCTCTGGGTGATGTTCTGGGGTAAAAGAATTAGGTATAAAATGACTGCAGCAGGGTTCCAGCACAGAGAGAGAAAACTCGAAAGTGTGCTGTGCCCCTATGCCCCTCCCAGCCCCGGGCTCTGCCACATGGCCTGGAGTCTGAGGGGCCTCAATCTGCACCACTGTTTCTGAGGAAAGGAGCCCTGGAGCTCTACTGAGTTCATTTGATAGTGCAGCTCTCAGAGTGCTCAGCCTCAAGGTCCCAGAACTTCTGGTACATCTACTTGGGGGCAAGAAGTGGACCCCAGCTCACCCAAGGAAGTCATGACCCAGGCCAGGAGCTGCTGGGCGACACCACATTCCCACTGTTGGTGAAGACGCGCGCGCACACACACACACGCACACGCACACGCGCACACACATGTGCGCACGCGGGAACATGCAGATGAGATGTGATTATAAAAACAACCAGCAGGTGGGGTCCCCTCCCGGCGATGTGAAGGGCCCTGTGGCCCTCAGGGTGCCATGCTGGTCATCTCTATAACCCTGCAGGTGGTAGCACCATGAACACACAGGGCGCAGCAGACGTAGGTGATGGTTACCTCAGTCGGCGTTGGTGAGAGCAACTGAGGCGACTGTGGACACAACGGAGCCGTCTGTTAGTGCGCTGTGCCCGGGGTTGCCTTAGGGTAAGAGGGCTGTCTGGTAACCACAGGCAACCCAGGCACCCGCATTCAGTGACCTGAGAAAGAGCCCCTCCACAAGAGATGGCTTTGGTGCTGCTTGGCCCAGCGCCTTCCTCCACTCAGCCCACCAGATCCCATCTTTATTCTCCACAGAGACCACGAGTTTCAAAACAAAGCTGTTTGTGGTTCAGGGACCACGGTGGCAATACCCACTCGGCCTAGCCCATTCAGATGGGGTGGGGGACAGCAGAAAATGGTGGCTAGGACCACAGGCTGGGAGAGAGCGAGGAGACAGAGGCTCAGGGAGGTGGCTCCAGTCCTTATGTTTCTAGCCACTGGCTCCTCTGCACTAGAAGGATGGCCCTTTACCTCATTCAGGGGACCCAGAGAGCAGGGGCCGCAGCCAGCTTACCTGGGCCCATGTGAGTCCTAGCTGAGCCTAGCTTGGCCTTGGCTTCCTTAGGTATAACTGGGAAAAATCATTCCCAGGGGTCGGGCCTGATCACAGGGACAGAAATGAAAACTCTGCTCATGAGAACAGTCCAGAGGGATGAGGCTGTAATGAAGCCATCGGATACTCTACGTAATGTCCATGACAAGAGCACTGAGGTTTTCTATTTTATTTATTTTTTTACTTGTTTGTTCATTTGTTTACTTGTTTGGTTTTTCGAGACAGGGTTTCTCTGTGTAGCTTTGGAGGCTGTCCTGGCACACCCTCTGTAGACCAGGCTGGCCTTGAACTCACTGAGATCCACCTGCCTCTGCCTCCAGAGTGCTGCGATTAATGGTGTGCGCCACCACTGCCTGGCTGGTTTTCTATTTTATGTTGCCCCACCATGCACCATGCAGGGCCTCAGAAGGAAGCGGCGTTATAGTGGGGACACCCCTTCCCTTCCCCTGGGGCAGCCTGGTACTGACCTCTGCTGAGGCAGGTCTCACAGGCAGTATAGTCAGAAGGTACAAACTTGTGGTTGTGGCTGAGCAGATACTGGAGAGGGTGACTCCTGAGTCACATACATACTCTCCCATGCCGTCCCACTGCCCTCTGAGGGACACGCCCTTAAGTCAGGACTATCTGTGGGTCACATGGATCCTACTACACGGTCTCAGATGCTAAAAGAAACTTCAGAGGTTTTCAGACCGTGTCCACAGCTCCATGCCACACATATGAGCAGCAACATTGTGTGACCCATGGATAGAGGACAGTGTTGTCAACGGTCTGTGGTCCTTTATATCACCGATGCCCACTGCAGCCCTTCCCACCATGGCTTCCTGAAGCCAATGCAGGAACACCAGTTTTCCATTCAGGGAGAGCCCTGGCGGCATCCTGAAGCTGAGTACAGTGGGACTTGAACCCAGCTCCTAGGCCTGAATTCCCTGAGGATCAACCAAGGAATCAGCCAGTGGATGGTCTGTAGCGGAGAAAGGCTTTGCATCTCAGAGAGACACAGTCCATGTGCCTGGCCTCTGATGCTCTTCAGTTGCCTGCTGCCTAAAGGCTAGATGCGGGACGGTGAAGCCCCCCACGCTGGCACATGGTGGGTGGTGCAGTAGCCACAAGGCTGGTGAACGCCTCCTCAGGGATGCACACCAGGGGGGCCACCTGCTGGTCCCTTTGGTCTTCTCAGCCCCTGAATGGCCCTCAGAGCCTGTGGGCTTCTCTGGCACCTATGACCTATGCAGGGTCAAGTTTGGTAACAACACTGCTGTGTATGTACAATGCCCTCACTCCCCACGAGGCCTTGCTGAAGCCACAGAAAGGAGTCAAAGGAATAACCATTTTATGGGATGGAGGTGGCGCACGCCTTTAATCCCAACACTCAGGAGGCAGAGGCAGGCAGATCTCACTGAGTTCAAGGCCACCCTGGTCTACAAGGCTGCACAGAGAAACCCTATCTTGAAAGAAAAAAGGGGGAGGGGAGGGAATACCCATTTTTCTGTCCTAGGTGAGCATCTGTTTTGAGCCCCACAAACAGCCAAAGCCACACTAAGGCCTCCTCTGACAGAAGGAAAATGAAACTCAATAGGAGTTGCTGTGTTCAGTGGAAATAGGCAGCCTAAATAAGACATCACCAATGCACGCTGCCTACTTTCAGACATCACCACTAGATGCTGCTAGTATTTAGGCGTTTGTGCTAGCCTGCCTTTGGAGTTCTGACAAGATACGCTCTCAGCTGCTGCCACTAAGAGCTCCACCTGTGCACACTCACTGTGTTCCCTTTAAAAGGGCCCTGCCACCTCCCTCCCTCTCTTCTCTCTCCCCCCTCTTTCTTCTCTTTCTCCCCTCTCTGTTTTTCTCCCCCCCCCCCCCGCCTCTCTCTTCTCTCTCCCACTGCTTCTGTCCCCAGAGGCCAGTCTCCCCCTCCTTTCCCTTTCTACAGTCCCTTTCCCTTAATAAAAAGCCCTTCCACTTGAACTTTGTCACATGGTGTCTTTCTCTCTCAAGCAACTTAAAGAAAAAAATGACAACAGATGCTGCCTACTTCCAGACATCACCAATACTTGTTGCCTACTTCCAGACATTACCACTAGATGCCGCCTACTTTCAGGAACACAGGGAAGCATGACCCGCACCGTTCAACCAGCCTGGGGATGGGCTCAAGACACCCATAGAAGAGGAGCTAGCCCAGGAATACAGGCTCGAGGCCATAAAGGAAAGATGATATACTTCATGTGTCATGAAAGCTCTCTGTACCCAGGAAAACACAGACATGTTCAGAGTGTGTTTCCCTTTTCCCAACCCTGTTCACCTCCAATTCACTCTCAGACTCGCTTCCCTGAGGGGGCGTGGTTGAGTGGGAGTGCCTTAAGTAAAGACAGACATGTAACCTGGGGGCGAAGAAGCTAAACTCTGTCCACAAGAGCCAGCTCTGGGGGAAGCATGCAACACACGGTGAAGATCCATACCTCGCCATAGCTCTGCCTGTCCCCCATGGCCGAGTGGCTGATGTAGGGCGAATAGGAGATCATGTCGGGGCGGTCAATGTTATAGATCGCTTTGTTTTTGGGAAGAGCAGCCAAGTCCCGGTAGTCCAGGATCTCATCGCCAAGCTTCGCCTGATGGAGGAGAAAGCAGAGGAGGGGACACTGATGTCACATGCCGGGCAAGAGCAACTCCACAGCCAGCAGTGACGATGGCCCGGGCTTCCAGGGCACACCCAGCCCTCAGCAAAGGTGGGGCAGGGTTGCAGGACCAAGGACCTGATCACAGGGATAGCCCTGGGGTCAGACAAGGAGACTCAGGCTATGACCTAAAAGCACACGTGGTTCATATAGCACGAACATATATCACGGATGGACATGTACACAATCCACTACTCACATCAATGCACACACAGGTATGCCTGTGTGCCTTTCTAAGGTGATGAGGGGATACACCAACAACTACACCCAGTCCCACATGATAACAAACTCCTGCTGATCCACAATACATCCCCATATATTGGCACACCTTCCTGCACACCAGGGCTTGCTCCTACAAACTTAGACAAGTGTGTGTGACACACATACATACACACACACACTCACTAGCATAACTCACCCCATCCACACCAAATGAGCACACACAGCCCCATCTGGGCTCGTTTTCATTCTCTCTCTCCTCATCTTAGCAACTTTGAGCAAGTACTGAGGAGCAGCATTTGACAGGGCGCTGGGGCGTGGTCCACACGCACTCACTGTGAGATGCTGTGAGCCACCATGCTGGCTCAGGCGAGGGCCACCTGGCTGCTGTCGCTCATTCTGCCCAGCCTTCTCAGGCAGTGTCCCACTGTGCCCATCTTACTCTAGTCCCACATACCTCCTCTGGCTCTAGGAGAATCTCCGTTCTTTCCAGCCCCCAGCCCAGCTCTGGGCTGGCCCCTCCCTGCTCAGGTCTAATTAGCGCACCAGCCTTTGCCAGGTCTCTGCTGGGATTCTGAGACAAAGCCTCAACAGCCACAGCAGATACTGAGCTGCACCAGTCTCAGGAAGTCATGGCTCCGTGTGATGGGGACATTCTCTGTGCTCTCATTTACAGGAGAGCCCAGAGCTCAGAGAGGTTGGGCGATTTACCCAGAGTCATGCACCTAGGAAGGCATGGCAGCCGAAGGCTCTAGAACCCCATTGGTACTCCCTTCTGTAGGCCCCACCCTAGCAAAACTCTCAAGCTGTAGCTACATCAAGTGGCTCTCCTGAAGACACCTCCAGGCACCTCCCACCTCAGGCTACCCACATCTTTGCTTATTGCCTTTCCGGACCCTATGGGGCTCTCCAGAGCCCAGCAGCCCTCATCCATCTCTAGGAAGCTTTCCCGAGTACTAGAATCACTCTGGAGTGAGGACTCCCTGGAGACATTTGGCAAAGGAACGCACTTAGACTGAAGGCCTAGTGCTTCACATCCCTGGCCTCAAAATATCTGAGGTCAAATCTTAAGCCAGGGTTTATGATCACCATGGAACATCCCATTGGGATTTTCTAGCTGTCTGGATGAATGGAGCTCAGGGGATCTTTCCCTGACCATCAATTGATCATGGTCTCCTCGGCCCCCATTCCGCACTTCTGCCGCTCAGCGCCTGCCTGCAGTTTCCATCCTTCATCTGAGAGCTTGGCACATGCTATTCCCACTCAAGGAGGTCTCTCTTCCATCCAGGTCAGATTCTCTCTTGGTGTCAGGGCTGGCCTTCTGTGGACTGTATGTCCTCTCCCACATCCCCGGGTCAGGACTAGAGTTGTCCAGGACCCCACCCTTTGTCCAACGCTGAGCAACCATCCATCTGCACAGGCTGGGTGGGCAGCCCAGCCTCTGTCTCCTGTAGTGCTGGGTCATCAACTGTGCTTCAGGCACTGCTGGACTGTTATGAACATATCACGCAAATGCTCTGCAGAGGGTCCTGCAGGCTGCAGTGGGGACACCCCAGAGACCTGCACCTCCAGGGAACCAGAAACAATGAGCCCTTTCCAACTACCTCTCCTCCCGGCCCACAGTGCTTGAGTACGAGGCCACCTGGCTCTAGGTGATCTGCTCCTTCCTCAGGCTCCTGCACAACCTGGGCCCCAACAGCCTGAGCAGTTGTCTGATGCAAACAGTGGTTGCCAAGTAGCTCATGGAGTTACTTTCTCTGTGCAAAGGCCTTGGATGGTTGCCCTGACAACGGGTTACGCTTTCTCATTAGCAAAGGCTATTGGTGTGCATATATGTGGTTTTCCTTTTGGCTTTCTTCTTCACACTCCATGAAGCAAGTTAAAGGTGACCACTGTAAACATGTATGTTCCAGCCCAGCGTAATACGCAGTGTGGTGACTGTTCCTTCAACTCGTGCCCATGGATGCCACCAGAAAGAGGCACCATTCGCTGAGGTTTCCCATTGCTGAACAATAAGTAACACTTGTGGTGAGAAAAGCAACCACAGAGCCCGCAGAGCCCCGGCTGCAGGGTTCCACTGGAGGGACAATGAGGGGGACCTTGTTCCCCTTCCTGCTGGCAGGGGCTAGAGTATGGCTCAGTCAGTAGGGGGCTTGTCTAGCCTGTACAATACCCATGATTCTACCCTGGCCATGGCATATGTCAGTCACAGTGACAACTGTAACCCCAGGACTCAAGAGGTCCAGGCAGGAAGAACACAAGGTCAAGATTATGCTTGGCTAAACAAGGAGTTTGAGGTGAGCGTGAGCTACATGGAATCCTCTCTCAAGGGAAGAAAGAAAGGAGCAGGGAACAGAAAGGAAGAAAAAGGTAGATAAATGGATGGTCCTAAGGGGCTAAATGGATCATTCAAAATGGGTGCTGCTTGATGCTTGACAAATGAGCAGGACGCACACATACTCACAGAGAGACGATGCCACCCACAAAGCAAGGAGAGGTCTCAGGAGGAACCAGCCCTGCCCTGCTTGGGCCTTGGCTTCTAGGCCCCAGAGCTGAGAGCAGAAGTCTCTCTGCCCAGGCCCCAGTCCCTGATCTTGCCATGCAGGCCCATGACACTGAGAGCTGGCATGCTCTCAGTGGAACCCTGGACAGTGGGCTTGGATTCACCGCAGCTCACCGATGAGCTGCCTTCGGCCCACAAGGGGAAACGCTTTGCCTAGGGTACACAGTAAGGCTCCGAATCTCACAGGCACAGGCTGGGACTCAGCACAAGTATCCCCAGAGGCACCTTTCTCCACACTGGTCACAGTGACCCTAGGAAAGATGCTGTTATCACCGCATCGGAATGATCCCTTGGCAACCATTGAGGGAGGGTGTAGGCTCAAAAGACAGGCAGGGAGAGAGACCCTCATCTCCCTACCACGCTGCCAACGATCCAAGGCCTGGCCAGTGTAGGGAGAGGATAGCAGAAGTGGCTTGCCCCTGTCACCTGCCCTCCCCACCCCTACCTCTAGTCCTGGAGCTTCTTTTGCCACTAGGCTGCCCTTCACCCTGTGCCTTAGAACTCTCAGTGACAACCCTTGTCACTCACACATAGCACTGTAACAACAATACTCTTCTTCCTATAGCCCTGCCCTCAGATGCAACTGTTCTAACAAGTTTTTAAAATAGGTCCAATCTTTCTTATAGTTGCATGGGTGCTCTTGTGTACACACACACACACACACACACACACACACACACACAGTGCACGTGCATCCCCCCCAGTACACTTCTCTTGGGGAGTTAGTTGGGCAGGAGCTTCTGTGCACAACACGGACCTGCACAGTGACTTACAAGCCCACAGCATCCTTCCTTCAGGTGGCCTTGGCTCACTCCAACTACAGACCAGCCATTCCCCTCCTGCAGTATTATGACCACAGCTATGCACTCTGCTCTCCCTCTCATCACCAGCCAGTTGGGGGACAAACTCCTAGGGGCTTAGCCAGGCCACACGGACGTGTCCAGGCCTCAGGTTTTGAGTCACTTTCCAACCGTGTACCCATTTCTTCCCCAAGGCAGGGCTGAGTGCCCAGCCTCACCTTGAGTGCCCACAGTGACCATCCTCAGCAGACTACAGTCTCTACTAGCACTGGCCCAGTGACGACCCCACCCCCACCCCACAGCGCTCTCCACGGTCCTCACTTACATAGATCACACGGCTTGGGGACCCCGACGTGCTGGAGGCAGGCACAGAGACAATGCTCTCCGAGGAAGTCCTGGTTTCCTAGAACAGAGTTGTACAGGTTGACCTGGAGTGGTGCTGTTGCGAACTTTCTGGAGGCATCTCCAGGATTCGGGCAGGAATGCCAAGGAGCTCAGCAGGTAGAATTTTCCCCTTTTTGTGGGTTGAGGGAAGTCTCAGAACACACACACACAGGTTTGGGTGAACAATTGAAGGCTACAATAAACAGCAGGCCACGAGTGAAGGTAGGCAAGGTGTCCACAACCTGACACGCACTGAAAGCTCAGAATGTCCCGAGGGATGCTGAGGTGAGGTGCTCATATCTCTGCAGATGAAGGCAGGCGGGACTGTCTAGCAACCCCTTGATCTCCATGGCACACAGAACCTCTGCTACTCATGGATGAGCTTCTCTCCTTGGAGGGGCTTCAGTCCTTCAGCCACACCCTCAGCCACACCCTCCAGTCTGCTGACCGGGCCCTCAGGCCCTTCTCAGCTGCTCCTTCCTGTCTTACCTAGGCTCAGCTGCCGGTACCCAGTGATGTGTGATGTCACTGCACACCCAGCCTCCTCCCAGTCTCTGCTGTTGAGTGCCCAGCCTTCTTGCACAGCCCGGCTCTCCTCTCCTCTGCGTCGCTAGCTCTAGTGCCTCCTTCCCCTCCTTCCTACAGACCCCCCCCCACCTCTCACACCTGACTGATCCTTACAGCAAGGCCCTTGCACCCGGCCACTCTACACCCCTTCTTCCGGTCTAGCGTCCTCCATGCCCATTCTCTCACGCCTCCTACTCACCTCATCTAAGAGGAACATATTTCCACCAGGTGTCACTGCCTCTCAGAAGGAACGAGCTCTGACCCCTCGGCCCTTGACCTCATGTCCTCTGCTGAACCTCTTCAGTGACCCCCAATACCGCCACCCCTGCCTCATTTTTCCTCGGGAGGCTCTTCCTTGCCCCTGGAGTCTGCCATGTTCCTCTCCTGAGGCAGTTGATATCTGTTAAGGTCCAAGTTGGCCTCCCTAAATTTCCTAGGCTGAGGCCCTATCTCGGAATGTGACCCTGTGGAGATGGGGGTTCCTCACAGAGGTCACAAAGGTAAAGTGGGTCACTGGGTAGCTCTAAACCAATCTGCTTGGAGTTTTCCTAAAAAGAGTTCAGAACATGAACGCACATACACACGAGAGAGAGAGAGAGAGAGAGAGAGAGAGAGAGAGAGAGAGAGAGAGAGAAGCATATTTAAAAAAAAAAAAAAAACAAGACGCTGCCTCTAAGTCCGAGCAAGAGGCCTCAGGAGGAGCTAGGCTGCTATCACTTGGGAGTTTAACCCCTGCCACAGGGAGGCAGGAAAGTATTGAAACCTCCAGGCTAGAAGAACCAAGCCGGGCCTGAAGGAGGCCCCCCATCCTGAGCTCCTCCTACACTCGACATCACACCAGCAAGGACAGGCAGACACTGGGACCAGACGTGCCGCACAGGGCAGCAGCAGACACAAACCTGTAAGGCACAGGGCACGGTGCCCGGGCAGGGCTGGCTGCAAACAGAGCTGTGCATCTAGAAGGGAGAGAGGAGGGGCGGCGTGAAGCTTGCTCTCCAGACCCCTGCCATCCCTCTGCAGGGCCTGGCTCTGGGCCCTTTAGCAAGCAAGCTCCACCTCCCCAGGGGCCCTCACTTCCTCAGCCCCTCAGTTCGGGGCTACACTGACATGTGCCAACTGGAGGGGCCTGCCTGACCCCTGGCACCACAGATTTCTGAGGCTGACAGGAATGGGATTACCTCACAGCACTGGCTGTCCTGGCCTTAGTCACCACATACCTCAGAACCACTATATGCAGAGAAGGTCCCCCCTCACCATGCCTGTAACTGCTGCCTGTAAGATGGGGCCTGCTCTAGCAGTGAGAGGCCAGGGGGCTTCTGTGCTCCACCGACCCTAGATGATGCCTGCCTGGCCCCCTTCTCTAGAAAGTGGCAAAATGCCCAGATAGGTCAGAGAGGTGCCTGCTGTTCCTGGCATGCACTGAAGACCAGTGTGACATTCAGAGCAAAGTCCCCCACTGGTCATGCCAGGCGAATATGTGAGCCAGCCCCACAGAGCAGGCAGAGATGACCACTCCCGGCTCTTTTTGTGCCGTGGACTCTGGCCACTCTGAGCAGAAATGACGCAAGCTCTCCTTGTACTCAGTCCCCAGCTGTGTGGGGGAGGGCAGGAGACAGAACCTGTCAGCAGAGGAGACAGGGAGAAAAGGTAAGGTCACTGTCAGCAGGGTGAGAAGCCTGCCCCCTTTGCCCTGACCTGAAGTCTGTTCCACAAAGACCCACAGCGAACTTCAGGGCCATGATCCACAGGGCCCTGTGTCACTGCCGTGTTCCACCCACGGAGATAAGAACAGGACCTGGGCCTTGCGGGGAGTCCACAGGCCTCATTCATGCCCGTTCTCAACTTCCAGGTACAGAAGTTCTAAAACATATGGTGGATGCCAGGTGCTCTACTAAGGATGCCATGAAGCTGTGGACAATTGGTGTTGTACTACAGCTCCCATGATGCCTGTGGGTATTGGGTGGTATGCTTAGGCTCCCATGATGCCTGTGTATCTGGGCAGTCATGACTCCATCTCCTAAAGTTCACTGCACCTATCCCAGATGCTGGGGACCCTGTAACCTATGGTCCGTCCACAACATCCTCCCTGCCTGGGTAGAAGAGGAACAGCTACAGGATTGGGGTGGCTTTCCAGATGGCAAGGAAAGCCTGAGTTTCTTCCTGCTGGCCTGGCCATGCAAGGACAGAACAGTCAGGAGCTAGGCTCTTAATGAAGAATGAGTCCCCTGAGTGTCCTGGAGATGTCCAAGGGCCCACACCAAAGGGTACTTGTTATGGTGACTATAAGCCCAAGACAGGGAAGCCATTTCTTGTCACTGGGTAGAAAGGAGGTGCTGCCTCCACTCAGTGGCAGCTTTCAAGAGTCAATAACACAGGGGCCACCTCTATGCTCTGTCCTCGGGGACAGAAATCTTCTTAAGCCAGCCAGGCCTGCCTGACTTCACTTACTCAAGGGCTACTCACATAAGGAACAACAGAGTGCAGGAGTCTGTCCCCTTCACCACCCCCCCAGGCCAGACCAGACAGCAGCCAATCCTGGGGAACCCAGGCTCAACACCAAGAAGCCAACTGTTCTCAGGCTGCTTGAGCTCTGCTCCAAATATTGGCCGAAGGAGACAACCTTCATGCAAAACTACTCGCTTCAATAGCTGTACAGACCAGAGAGCCCTGGATGTAGGGCCCTCCTGCACAGGCTAAGGAGAACAAGGGTGCCATAGTTCCCAGTCGGGCGGCACCCACCCCTCAGGGCCTTCCCTCTGGCCAGGGACCAGAGAAAATGAGGAAGGCTGTTGTGCCCTGCAGCTGGTGTGGGGCATGGGCCAACCTGCCCAGTCCTCGAGCCTGACTGGGGGAAGGGAAGAGAGGAGAGCAATGTGCCCTTTCCTAGTTCTGTTCAGTCTCGGTCAGGTTGCTTCCCTGAGTGCATGCATGTGTGAGTATGTCCGGGGCCTCTGGACATGCCAGGCTCCTTCCTTCTGCTGAGCGCTTGGGCAGCACAGAGGACCCTGCAGGCAAGATGGTGTCTATGGTCACCTCTCCACAGATCATGACTGAGGGCAGGAATGCCCTGAGTGACAGATGCACAGTTTGCAGAGAGAATCAGCCATTGGTGAAAACAGAGCATACAGCGTGCTATTGCTCATTGGCCTCTTATCGGAAAAGCCAAGCAGAGATGTAATAGGATGCCAGCGTGATGGGGCAGAGTAATGCAGAGTCAGGGGAGAAGGGGGGTAGCGGTGGGGGGTGGGGAGGGCTAAGCACCTCACAGCCTAAGGCAGGACTGCTGAGAGGATCCTGGAGAGCGCCCTGCTAGCCACGGCCTCTCCGTGTTCCTCCCCGCTGCCTGCATATCCTCCTTCTTAGATTTCTCCTCTTCCTCCTCCCATTTTCCTTCTTCCTCCTCCTCCCTCTCCCCTTCCTTCTTCCCCTCCTCCTTCTGCTCTGCACCTTAACTACACAAGCAAGAAGGTACCACCCTGGAAGCTACTCCCATGCAGCTCCCAGTGCCTGGGTGTGAGCTCCGCATGGGTTCTAGCGCACCCTCTGAATGCTTCCTTCCCGTCCAGGGTGACTACTCTCTCTTCATCTCTAGGCCATACTCCTGGTGCCTGGCACACAGCAGGGCATCTGTGGGGTCCAGAACCCATCCCTTCCTAGAAGCTGGCATTTGCTCTCGGCGCCTGGGAGGCCATATGTGTCTCACCTCAGCAGCAGCTGTGTTCAGGGAGGGCTGGCCACACCTAATCATCCCATGGTGTGGTGGCCATGTCAGGAAGGCCACCTGTGCCCTAGGACAAGAGCCTCGGGTTGCAGTGGATCAGTTGACCTGATATGTGGGCTCAGTGAGTCATACTCCTCCCTGCCAGAGCCTCAGTGAAAACTCAAGCATGGAGTTTGCCTGGTTGGCAATGCTCTATGTGCCCTGCCCTGCATGTGCAGGAGGGTGACATGCCCATCTCCATAGCGAGAAGACCGCAGGAGTTCTGCACTGGGACTTGCTGTGTGTTTTGACAATCCTGCTCTCAACAACTTAGCCTATGGCAGGCAGGCCAGCTGTCATGAGGGTGTGCGAACCGTCAAGCCCAGGCACAGTTTGGATCTACAAATGTTCTGATGGTCACAGGGACTATTTGGGGTCTCCCAAACTATCATGGCCATCTGTGCTCACTGACTAGACAAGGATGTCAGCCACCTGGTGTCCTTGGGGCCCATTAGACCAGTATCATGGCTCATTGACCTATCTATTCCCCCACTGTCCCCTGGGCCTGGCTGTCCCATGATGCCTCTGAGGCCTGGCTGAGAAGCAAGAGTAGGCTGGCCTGCGCCTCCCCCTCTAACCTGCATGTGGAGACCACAAATCTCACCAACCTTGCTCTTGTCTCCAGTCCTGGCTGCTTGTCGACATGCTGGGTGCCAGATGGAGGAGCCTGTGGACAGATTGCCAGGGGAAGAGGTCAAAGAGCAGTTCTGGGTGTGGTGTCCAGGCAGGAATACCTGCGCAGTACCCTTCAAACGGGCTCCACACCTCTCTGTGACACCGAGGCCAGAGCACCTGAGCTTCTAGCAGCTTCTTGGCTCACGTGAGGTAAAGACGTGAGCTTCCCCTTCCCAGTGTGGGCTGCTTACTTCAGTGGGCAGCAGTATGGGTTCCAGAGTGCCTGGGCACACTGCCTAGCCTGGGGGGGTGCTCTTAAAGGTAGCATCAAATACAGATGCAGGGGTGGGGAAGAAGTTCTCATGGCCAGTGCAACATGAAAGTCACAGCACCCACACTTGCCAGTGCTCTGGTCCTGCCGGATACCACTTTCATGGAGAGCTGGTGTGAGGAGCCAAACAGAAGCCCTCAGGGTGGCCGGGAATGGTGACGTATCACAGGCCCTGGCCAGAGAGCACAAATAAGTGTCGCTAGCCTGATCGGACCCTCATTGCGGTGTGGAAAACCCATGCCCGAGAGTGCAGCCTGGACTCCATGCACACAGAAAGTCCTGGCAGATCCCAGTGCAATGGTTGGACCAGCCCAGACTCATGAACAGGATCTTTGTGTCCAGAGATGAGGACACCTTCATGTGAGCACGTGTCCCCAAGCCACTATCCCAGTGAGCTGTGCTTGGCATTGGCCGGCTCTCTGTCTAAGGGTTCCATTCACATCTACAGGGGAGCCTCTGCAGAGGGCCTCCCACAAGGCAGCCACAGTGGCTGGCCTGACTCTCAGGATCTCGCCTTGGAGACAACAGGCAACAATGGAGATGACTGACACATCTGACACCATCCCCAGCCAAGGCTTGCCTCGGAAAAGTGGGGGAGACTGTCTGACACATGGCTTGGAATGCCCCTCCGTGGTTACTCAGCATCAGTCTGTAGACAGAACACAACAGGTGCAGCTGCTACCAGCTCTGTCCTCTGCCTGGCCCTGCTCAGCTGCCCTGGGACCCCAGGAGAAAGGGTAAGTTGCCAAAGAAATGAAATACCAACACAAGGCCATCTTCCCTTGGCCCACTGATCGTGTCCACTCTAGTGGTGGTCCTCGTGCCCCCACGCATCCCGGTGTCCCTTGGTCACATGCTCTGGGATGAAGCCAAACCTGTCTAGCCTCCCTGATAGCCATGGGCAGGGGTTAAGGAGTGAGCGCTCCCCTCTTGCTGCATCCAGTCGGGTAAGGACCAGGTCAGCAGGCTGAGCCAATGCTCCGTCACGCTCAGCTGAATGTAGGCTCCTGACCGGTGCTCTGCCTTCCCGTTTACCTATTCATCCTGCAGCCTCCAGTCTCTCACCATGGCCAAGCCAAGCCCTGTCACACCTCCTCCAAGCAGCACTCCCAGTCTTCTGCTGGTGTATCTGGGCCTCACACCAGCTCCCTCTGGCTAGCTGCTCTGGAGGGAGGGCTGGCCTGCCTCACCTCTCTATCCCCAGCACTCAGTGGGCAGTGGGAGACACAGGGTCCTTATTCCTCAATTAAACTCCAGTCCAGACTAGGCTGTGGCCCCTGCTGTGGTCCTTGACCTCCACTGCCTGTTTTAGGCCTACTTAGCCCAGTTTTAGGCAGAATAATGCAAGTTAATTCACCGGGAATCCTTCCCTCCAGGTGCCTGGCCACCCTTCCTGTCTTGTGACATTTCCTCATTCACCTCTGGTGACTGAGCTTTGCCCTACTTTCAGTGAGGGTCCCTACCCTAGATGCATGGGATAGTTTTCACTGTTAACTTGACACAACCTAGACTCATCTGAGAAGAGTTTCACTTGAGGAGTTCTCTAGATCGGGTTGGTCTTAAATTTTAATTGATGTAAGATGACTCAGTCCATCATGGGCGGCACCATTCCCTGGCTTTGTGCCCTGGACCGCGTAAGAGCAGAGGAAACTAACTGAGTACTAAGCAAGCAGGCAGCATGCATGCATTTGTTTCTCTCTGATCTTGGCTGTGGATGAGACTGGCTACTTTAAGTTCCTGCCTTGATTTCCCTGCAATAACAGCCCAACCTGAAATCATTTCCTCCTCTACGCTGCTTTTGATCGGGATATTTTATCACAACATCAGAAATGAAACGAGGATAGAGTAGTTTCTCCCTTGAGATCAAAGGGGACAGAACATGCTACCCCAACATGTGACCAGGCAGCAGCATGTGACACCCATGTCTTCTATGGCAGAAGGATCACTTTAAGCTGGTTACCTGAGGAGGACACAGAATACTCAGGAGTGATAGAAAGGAGACCACTCACTACAAAGGGGAAACTCAGATTTGTATAGCGGTATCCGTGTATGAGGGTATAGTATTACCTGGTAGATGAGGGGACTGAGTTACCAGGGATCCCATCACCGGGGAAGTGTGCTTAGCACCTTCGATAGAAAGCCTCCCACACACACAGACACACACACACACACACACACACACACACACACACACACACACAATCCCCTTCCTCCATTTGACATCTCCCTGATACTTTTTCTCATGGCTAAGAAAGTGGTGTGTCAGCCAGAAATCAGAGCTGCCCTCTGAGAGTCGCCCTGGAGATGTACTGTCACCCTGTGTGTGCATGAGGGACACATGCTCCTCCCTGCCCTTTTTTCTTTCGCCGACCTTCCATCACATGGGTCCCCACTAAGCTGGGAAGGGTGCAGAGAAAACTGTTTTTCCTCCTCTACAAGGACCACTGCCTGCCCAGCTCTGCTTTTAACCAATAGGAAAGAAACGAGGGGAGCTCTGAGTGCTGCCATCAGAATGTAATAGCAGCCATGGACCCTGTTGAAAGGCTCATCTAGGAAGAGATGCCATGAAGCCTGGCTCGGCCTCCAGCCCCACGAGTCCCAAGGAGCCCTCTCCTTTACTAAACTGTCCAATGACGACAGTTGCTGAGGCTATGACTTTGGACCAAGCTCTTGCACCAGGACCCAACTGAACAGCCGAACCCAAATGACGTCATTCCCAGGAGAGTTGTGAGATGAAACCATGCTGTCTAAGAGACAGGACGGGAAGGGACCAGGCATAACCTCCGCTTCGGGCCTGCTGGGCTGGCAAGCTCCTAAGCGCCTGTGTGACCCACAGCCACCTTCAGTCGGCGTCTCTGTCTCCCGCCCTGCCTCAGGAGGGAAAGTGACCTGGCAGTGTCATCACATCTCATCTCTGCCACTCCTGCCGTCCACACCACCACGTCCTCTGCTCGGCTGTGGACCGCTCAACCTACTTTAGGGAACGAAACATTTCATGGTTCTAAAGCGAGGCATGTAGCGGCTAAGCAGCGTCACTTGTCATTTTCCATGTTGACACCATTATTGTCATTTATTTTCATTTTATTGGTATTGTGTGGGGGTGCGTGTACCGTGGCACGTATGTGAAGGTCAGAGGTCAAGTTTCTAGTCAGTTCTCTCTTTCTACCTTTACTTGGATTCCAGGGGTGGAAACTTGGGCCAACAGGGCCTCCAGCCTTTGAGCCACCTCACTGGCCCTGTTAATAGGAGTTTTAATGGTGAGTGGGTAGGGTTCTGGTGAATTCAGTAGAAGGCTCCTTTCTCCCAATTTTCCTTTGCCGATGTTATGAAGGCTGCTCTTTTCCACACTTCAGGGAGGGAATGTGGTCTTGCTGCGGTGTGACAGGGGGCACCACGGGCCAAGGCTCAGATGGGACACGACTGATAGTCTGTGAGTCCTCCCAGTGGGAACGAGGCCCGAGGGGCAGTGGCGGACCTCACGGCCTGCTCTTTGGCGGCCTGGGCTCCCTCGCTCAGGTTCACTGACACCTTCAATGGAGATACTGCTGAGTCGAGATCACAGTCTGTGTGTGTGTGTGTGTGACGGTGCCAGCTCCTAGGACCAATTTCACCACCACCACCCCCTGGGCACAGTATGCAATAGGCACGTCCAAACGCTTACCTTGCAAGTACATCTCCTCGCCCTCTGAGAACATCTGGCCGCACCTGACGCATAGCGCACACGAAGGGTGGTAGTGCTTCTCCCCGGCCTGGGGAGACACAAGGCAGGTGAGTACTGCCACTGCAGTGGGCACCCACCATGCCATAGCGTGCAGGGTGGGCATCCTCCCTGTGCACACATCTGGGAAACCTGGACAGTGAGCGCAGCAAAGGCCCAGAAGGCACTGGGAGCAGAGATCTACACAAGCTAGGCAGGGGCACCCAGGGCATCCAGGCCCTGTTCAAAGGCTGGGAGACCTAGCTCCACCTGCCTTATCTTTGATCTCGGGAGACCAGATGTGCAGGGAACCACTCCTGGGTGTGGTCGTGGACAGGTCAGTATCAGAGGAGGGTCTGGTCCCTTCACCTCTGCATGTCCTGGGGTGGAAGCAAGGATTGGAGGGTGGGAGGAGGCAACTTCCTTTCCCTGGTGATGGGGACAGGGAGGGTAGTGTGGGGTTGCTTCGGTTTTTGTATCTCTGTACTCCTTAATTCCCTCAATTGTCACTTTCTAGTTTAGTAACTCTTTAAAAACCATTCAATTAGGTGACAAATTTTAATCTTAAAACAATAAATAGACTACACTAATTGTAATTTCTTGCCTCTGGCTTATTCTTACATGGTGCCTAAAATGTCTTAAAGTGCTGATTCCAACATCCTCAACAGTGAATGCTGTTCCCAGGGTGCAGCCGGTGGGCTAAACGTGAAAGATGAAGCCGGTGTCTCACAGCATCCTAAAATGGGAAGAGGTTCCACACCCACCTCTGAACTGGAATCTTAATTGGCACCTTCCCGAATAAGGGGGGGGTGCTAAGAGTCCTTACCTCACTCCCTTCCTCTGTCTGTTTTCCCTTGAAAAAACTAGGCCAAGGCTCCAGCATACGGAAAAAGAGAATCTAGAATCTCTCCTGTGTGGGCCTTGCCAGCTGCCCTGCCATTTTCCTCCTGGCTATCAACTCAGCCCTCACCCATGCTCACGTCTTGGGCCAAGGGATCCTCAAGGCAGAGAGGAGAGGCCCCAGCCATGGCAGCAGACCCCAGTCCAGATCCTGTTCATATTAACTACCACCTGGATTCCTCTGGCATTCCCAACCTCACCAAATAGCCTTGCTTCCTCCAAAAGCCACCTCCTTCAAAGGAGTCTCCCCGTAATCTCATTCCTTCTGACCCATTCCTCACTGCCTGGTGAGGGTCCAGCCTTCTTCCTCCCAGAACACACTGAGCTTGGCTAGCAGGGCTGGTGCCTGGGCCCTTCCAGGACTGAACCACTTCATGGACAGTGGTCACACCCAGTGCCAGCCTGATGACAGGGTAAGCGTCCACTGGTGATTACAATAGACAGCACAGTGAGTGGGCAGGGGAGCTCTGTGTTTTTAGTTCAAAGTGACCCGTGATTTTTTAGCTAAGTCAGCTGGTTGCCAGAATTGATGTTCCCCAGTTGATGACCTTCCCATCTGCCTCCACATCCAAGTTCTCCCAGTGGGTCTGTGACAGCCCCAAGGTAAACAAGCCCTGTGCCCCATTTGTGAATTTAAAGAGACATAGAACGCTGGTGGGTGCAGTTTCTGAGACACCAGGCTCAGGGCTGGAGAGATGGCTCAGTGCTTAAGAGAGCTTGCTGATCTTCCAGAGGACCTGAGTTCAGTTCCCAGAACCCAAGTCGGACAGCTCACAATTACAACTCACAGCTCAATGTTGTCCTGTGTCCTCTTCAGGCTGGCACACACATAGCACACACAGATGTAAACACATTGGAAAGAGAGGGTGGGAGAGACAGAGACAAAGAGAAACAAAGAGAGAGACAGAGAGACAGCAGTCTGTATTTCCCCCCATAACAGTTGTAGCCATCCGTTGACGTGCCACACTGAGTTGCTGCCATCCGTTGATGTGCCACACTGCATACACACACTACTCACTTTCACACATACTAGAGGTTCAGTTCTGTGGCAATCCTTTATAAAATACATGGCAGATACATTACAACCTTCACTGTCTGTTGTAAGAGGCATGGGGATGGAGAGGGACTTGAGCAAGGTCATTCGGTGGGTGGGTGAATGGCAGAAGACCCCAAGAGCACACATTTCAGCCTGGGCCTGTGGGCTCTCAACCCTACCTGAAAGTTCTCGACTCCAGGGACAGATCACATGTTCACATGTCCCCTCAACTCCCGTGCCCTGAACAAAGAACACAGAGCATGCAGACAGTCTGCACAGCGAGGAAGAGAAGCCAGCATGGGGGAGTAGAACCCAGGTTTATCAGGGTTCAAGTGAGAGGGGCTCTACATTGTGGGAGGGTAGTGACTATCCTGTGATGTCTGGAAAAAGTCCACAGAGGCTGGGTGTGTTTGTGGTCCTAGCTTGAGTAGTGGTTACCTGAATGTGTCTGATCCCTGGAAGTGTGTCAAGGTACACATGGCTACTCATTCCTCTCTGCATGTCAGTACACGTCATGGACACCCAAGTCCAAGAATTCCATAAACAGATGGCAGACCTAACTACAAGATCCAAAACAGCAGGGCTGTCAAGAGAAAGCCGTGAGGAAAGCCCTTGTTAGCTGGCACGGAGACTTAGATCTAACAGCCAAACTATAAGTGACAGAGGTACAATCAGCAAGCCGACTTCAGCAAGACCCATCAAAAGCTCCTGTTCAGCAAAGGGCACTGGAGGAGGCTCAGAACACAAGCTCAGAGGGAGGACAGCTTTCCAGTCATAGATCCAGTAAGGGCATCGGGTCCAAAATATGTAAAGAGCTGCTACCATTCAACAAGACAGAGCCCAGATAAGAAAGGAACAGCACTTTTTGCCTATAGATGAGGCTGAGGAAGTGTTTTGGAAAGCTCTCATCTCCCTAGTCCACATTAGGCTCCTAATGAGTCTGGACAGGTATGGAAGTAAGATCTTACTGGAGCTTAAACCATCTCTCAATGTCTGAGGAATCACAGAGAACGCTCACTGCCACAGGAAGTGGATGAAGCTGTAAATGTAAGGTCACAGAATGCACATAAAAGAACAGGGAGGTCAGAGACAACTGATAGAAGCTTCTCAAAGACTAAGTGACAATTAACTGTCCTTCTATGGCCACAGCCAAAGACACCTCCGCCACCTCTGCCACTGACCTGTCAGCCGTCACCCTGCCCACCACTGAGGAAAGCCACCTGGAGATTATTTTGCACAGCCAGAGAAAGGGAAATGGCTGGAAGCATGACAGCCAGCAGGGGAAGAAACAGCACCTCCGAGGAGCATGACTCTGTGGATGAGGCTGTCTTTCAGAAATGTCACAAGTGAGTGACTGCCTTGAGAATCGCTCCCACAGTGAGAGGTGAGAAAGTGGAGAAGAGAGCCCTGTTCATACCTGAGATGGCCAGGGCTTCGTGTAGGCCCGCACGGTTCTGAAAACTCTGGTGGTGGCCTTGGAGGCAGCTTGGTCAACAATGACTATCTTGGTCATGGAGGAAACTTCAGTGGCCGTAGTGTTGGTGGATGTGGTGGCAGTGGTGATGGCTCTGATGAGGTTGGTAATGACGGTGGTTATGGGGGGAGGCAGTCTTGGTTACTCTGGAGAAGGCAGAGGCTATGGTAGTGGTGGGTAGGAGCTATGATAGGAGTGGCTATGACAGCTTTAACAATGGGACAGGGAGGAAGTTTACAATGGCAGTAGCAGCAACTATGTAGATGGCAACACCTTTAGAGGTTGGAGATCACAGATATCAATCTCCAGATTTTGAACCCATGAAGGAATTTGGAGGCAGGAGCTTTGTCTCTGTGGTGTGGAGGGTCTTAACACTTTGCCAAACTATAAACCAAGATGGCTCTGATGGACCCCAGCATCACATTGCTACAGCAGAGCCAGAAGGTTCTAACCACTTCCAGGAAACACAGCCTAGGACAGGAGGGCCAAAGATGTGACAGGGAAGCCACAGGCAACAACAGATTGTGAACTCAGGACAGTACCTGTGACTGTCTGTGTTAACAGGTTATTTGGTTTCTGTTCTGGAGGAAGCATGTAGCTCTCTAACATATTGGTTCTGGTTTGTTTGGTTGGTTGATTGGTCAGTTGGTTGGTTGGTTTAGTTTGGTTTGTTTTGGTTTGGTTTTTTGGGACCGGGTTTCTTTGTGTAACCCTAGCTGTCCTGGAGCTCGCTCTGTAGTCCAGTCTGGCCTCAAACTCACAGAGGTCTGCCTGCCTCTGTCTCCCAAGTGCTGGGATTAAAGGTGTGTGCCACCACCCAGCCTCCAACAAAGTGTTTTAACTTTGGCCTTTCTCATTCAGTCAATTGATTGTTAAGTGTACTGGTTTGGTCATGACACCAAGTACGTGCATCTTTTAAAAACAAAAGAAATGGGCTGGAGAGATCTCTCAGCTTAAGAGGGCTTGGTGTGCAACAACACCCATGTCACAAGCCTAGCATGTTTTCATGTATTCCCCTACCCCTAGCAATATGGAGGGCAGGGCAGGGACAGGGGGAGGACTGGGGTTTGTCGGCTAACAAGTTTAAAGACTGCTTCAAGGAATACAATGGAGAGGGATAAAGGAGAATACCCAACACCTTCCTGTGGCCTCTGAATGCAGGTGCAGGTACACACACCTCTACACACATGTGTACATACATCACAGGGCGGGGTGGAGCAACGTGGACAGACATTTCTCCAAAGATGATAAGAAAATGATGGAGCAGAAAAGACGGTCAGTGTCATATGTCACTGTCACAGGGACGTGCAAACCAGCTCCTGACCCAGGCAGACAAGGAGTCTCATACCCACCACAACAGCTGTACATGCACGTGAACAAACAAAAGCATGCGAGCCTGCGGGGAATTGTGTCCATTCACCATGCAAACTAGAAATCCACTCCTTGGTGTCTGAGAAACAGCAAAGACTCACATGCTGGGTTCACAGCAGCACGGCACACACTGGTCAGTGGCTCCTAAGCTCACGCATGCACTATGACGGAGGCAGTGTGGCACATCCATCTGCAGGATGCGGAGTGGCTGTAGAAAGGTGGTACCCACAGGTGCTGCAGTGTGGACAGCCCATGAACAATGAAGGAGACG